TATTTGGTTAAGTATTTTCAGATTTTTGGCTGCAATAGTGCCTTCAGTTTAGACACATGTAAAATATAATGAAACTGTAGCTTCTAGTTTGGTAACTAAGACAAAACATGTTTACGTCAGTCTTAAAATTAAAAAAAATGCTTATATGACAAAGGATTGACTTTTTTTTGTCAAATAATTCAAAATTGGCCTCAAAATCCATTCATAGAATAAGTGTCAGAGTATTAATAAATAAAAAAAAACCTGCCTCTCACATTTACTTTTTTAATTGCCTTCATTTTATTAACTCAGGTTTAGGATTTGTACTGACAAAAATGGGTTTTAAACTTAAGATGGATTATGCATAATAAAAAGAAGCAATGCACCAACTTCAACTGGATTTAAGGGCATCTTAACAACATTTCATAGTTGAGGTTACACAGTGAGTCTAAAGATGTGCAGGTTAGGTGGATTGGCCATGCTAAGTTGCCCTATAGTGTCCAGGGATTTGCAGATTAGGTGAATTAGCCATGGAATATGTGGACTTATTAGGGATGGGATGGGGGCTAGGTCTGGGTGACATGCTATTCAGAAAGGTTGGTGCAGATGTTATGGGCCAAATGGCCATTTTTGCACTGAAGGGATTCTATGATTCTGTGATTTTTGTCAGGGACTTGCAGTGAGCCTGTTGTATTGTGGGACTTCAGTCGGACGCTCTATGTTTAAATGTATATTGGTTGCCATCTGGAAGTTATATTAAATTGGCTTCTGAGTCTGGACTTTGCTAAAACATCTGCACAGATACCTCATATATGTATATTCACAGTTTGGCACTTGCAAGCTATAAAGATACACACGAGGTGTGGAGAAATGAACGCATTTGAACTGCTGAGTTGAGACCTGGAGAATTGTGGAATGCGTCACAGAAAACTAACAAAAATAAGATTATGTTGCTTTGGTTAAACTGGGGACCCTTTCTGGGTGTTTTAAGATCACTACAGGGTGCAGAAACTGAAAGGACTAAATTGGACTGTTTCAAGACATCCCACTGAGTATATCTGTGGGAAGAACTATGAGTCTTATTGTTCAGGGCAAGCATCGTTCCTGCAGAGTGCTTTTCTGCTTTTCTTATTCTGGTGTCGAATGCACAGGGATTGGTTTGGTTCAGTTGTAGATTATTTTGAGGGAAAATTGGATAAGTCTTTGAAACAGAGGAATGTAACAAGGCCGTGGGGAGGCGACGTGGCTCTGAGATTAATTTTGGATTGATACAGCGAAGAATCACTCAAAACGTACTTCTTGCATACTGTAATATTTAGTGGTTTAATGGGTTATTTCCCACTGCCCTCTGTTGCCAGTTCTGCATGAAGAAAGTTCTTTGACCATCTTGACTGGGAAGGGACAGTGATGCAGCAATCATACCGCTGTGTTAGTAATTCAAAGGAACAAGCCAAAGCTGTGGGGTCAATGGTTCAAAATTCACCATAACAGCTGTTGGAAATGAAATTCAGTTCATCGAAGTCTGGAATTGAGAGCTAGCCTCAGTAACAACGATCGTCAATTCTTGGAACAAAACCCACCTGCTTTATGAATGTCCTCCAGGGAAGGAAAACAACCATCTTTGCACAGTCTGGCTTTCATGTGAGTGTGAACCCACGGCAGTGTGGGTGACCCTTAACCAAGCAAGCCATTCAAGTGCCACCTTTGCCAGGAGTGCATGCGTGCTATGGAAGAAGAAGCAACCTACAGTACCGCACAGCCTGGAAAATTGTCTGGAGTGGATGTATAACCTTAGCGGCTATTGTCGTACTCAGCTGAGCCAGATGACATGCCCATGCACACAATCACACCAGTGCACACTGGTCTCTGCACACAGAGCAGGTAGATCTTGACTTTTAGTCTGATTCTAATAATGGGCAAAAGGAAATCTTCCATGCTTGGTTTGCATTGTTCCATAGCCAATGCTAAGTAAAAGGAGGCTGATTATGCAGCCCGTTTCCTTCACAAAATTGCGCAAAGTCCAAAGTTGCACCAAGCAAGAACTTATCGTTTGTCAAACAGGTTTAAGAAGCAGCAGTGTGAATGATTTAGTGGGATTGCACATTGAAGGATAATTACAAATGGATGGGTGAAATTGGAAGGCATTTGGCTCCTGAGCTGTTAGGAATGTTGAAATCACGTGGCCAAAGAAGGCAGCCAGTCAGGAATGAGTAATGAAGCATTTAAAATGGCAAAGGCATCTTTTACTGCAGGTTGGCGTTAGCAGGGAGAAAGACTGTAGAAACTCTCCTCAGAGATTAAACAGGCTGGGTAGAGTCCACGATAAAACAACTGTATATGGAAGCAACAGAACTATTGGACAACAAAGCCCTTTTTTGTTCCATATTTTTCTTTGCTGCTTTATGCACACAGATGCAATCATGATCCAACTCCTACCTTCAAGGAGAAAAATGCCTTACATCTCACGCAATTAAAAAAAACACATAAATCCTTTGAGTCCAAGCAATCACATTGTCAAAATACAACTAAATGAACAAAGGTCCTTTGCGTGAGCAAGATCATTTTGCCTTTGTCCTTTCAGGCAATGAGTATATTCCAGATAATTACAACTTGCTGAGTATAATATTCACATCTTCCCTGACTTTTCTATAAACGACATCAATCTGTGGCCTTATGTTACTTCCCTCCAGCAAATAGAAGCAGTTTCTTTGTCCCCATCTACTCAATCAAATCCTACATTGTACTGAACACTTCAATTAGTTTGAGAATTGTTGAATACATTATATATATCTTCATCTACATTCATGGGTCTTTCAGGAAATGTCTCTATTTGTTGATCACCGACAATTGGACTTGTCATGGTGGTATTGAACTGCCGTATTGGACAGCTGCAACCCATCAGGAATGATGGCCTAGTAGTATTTTTGCTAGCCTGTTAATCTAGTGACCCAGGTGGCGTTCTTGGGATCTGGGGTTCAAATCCTGCCATGGCACCTGGTGGAATTTGAATTTAATAAACGCAAAAGCCTCATGAAATTATGATGATCATGAAACAATGCTGGTTATCAGGAAAATCCATCTACTTCACTCATGTCCTTTAGAGAAGGAGATCTGTCATCCTTACCTGGTCTGACCTACACTTGACTTCAGGCCCAGAGTAATCTGGTTGAATCTGGGTAATTCAAAGATAGTAAGAACTGCCGATGCTGGAGTCAGAGATAACACAGTGTGGAGTGGAGGAACACAGCAGGCCAGGCAGCATCAGAGGAGCAGGAAAGCTGACATTTTGGGTCCGGACTCTTCATCAGAAATGGGGGAGGTGGAAGGGGGCTCTGAAATAAATAGAGAGAGGAGGGGTGGGGCTGGGGAAGGTAGGTGGGTTGGTGACAGGTGAGAGAATCTGGGTAATTAATATTGGCATAGCCAGTGATGCCCACATCCTGTGAATAAATAAAATCAAAAATGTGGTGATGTTGCTCCCAGAGCAGTGTTAGATAGGGGTGTTCCAGGATTTTGACTCAGGCAACTGAACAACCTCACAAGCACAGCTGAAGGAGACGCCCAATTCTACAGAGTAAATCTGATAAATATTGTTTCTGGAGCAGTGGATGAGTTTGTTGTTATAAGGCCAAAGGTCAGCGTGTCAGATCTGCTCCCTGCCCAAAGCTGCCCATGTGTCTTCTGTTGTTGCTTCAGTGGAGTGTAGCACAGAACAAACAGAGGGAAGGGAATTGGAAAATCTGACAACTGCAAAAGTAGTAGACTCGCCAACTTTAAGGGCATTTAAATGGTCATTGGATAAACATATGGATGATAATGGAATAGTTTAGGTTAGATGGGCTTCAGATTGGTTTCACAGGTCGACGCAACATCGAGGGCCGAAGGGCCTGTACTGCGCTGTAATGTTCTATGTTCTATGAGGAGAAACGTCTTCTCGGCCTTTAGCCTGTCAAGCCCCTTAAGAATCCTGTGTGTTTCAATGAGAATTGATAGAGGACAGGAAGTTCTCATAGGAGATTCCTTCAGTGAATCTTAAGGTTGGCACACATTGTAGACACAGTGTGCCATAGTGGAGGGAGTGAATATTGAAGGTGGTGGATGTGCTGCCAGTCAAGTGGGTTGTTGTACCCTGAATGATGTAGAGCCTCTTGATTGTTGTTGGAGCTGTATTCACCCAGGGAAATATTCCATCACATTTCCTGTCTTGTGACATGTAGGTAGTGAACAGACTTTGGGGAAATATAAAATAAATGACTTGCCGCAGAATTCCCAAGCTCTAACCTGCTTTTGTAGTTACAGTATCTATATGACAACGGGCATTTTTGAGCTCAGTTGGCAATCAGCTCGATTGCAATGCAGAGTGAGGACAATAGCGTGTACTCAATTCCTATACTGGCTGAGATTATCATGAAGGTCCCTCCTTCTCAGTGTTGCCCTTCACCTGATGTGTGGAGACTCTCAGGTTAAACTCATCACCAGCTGTCTCTCTCTAATGAGAGAGGCAGCACTATGGTCCTATGGGACTATAGCGATTTTCCCTTTATTTATGTGACTAGTCCAGTTCAGTTTCTGGTTAATGTGGCTGACCTAGTTAAATTTCTGGTCAAACATTTAAATTGGTAAGATGGTGTGGATTTGGGAGCGCTTACATTTGTTCGAGTAATGAAATGAAGAGGGATGGTGGAAGCATTGGGAAAGCCAACATAATGCAGTAAGCTTGAGTTCCATGGAGTGGTACCTTCAGTCAGAAGATCATTAATGAAGTGGTGTTGGTGATAGAGATCTCAACTTGAGCAGTGTGTCTTAAGGTGAGCACACTTAAAGTAAAGTTAAGCAGAATCAAATAGCATAAAAACAAATCGGAAGAAAATATAAACGCTTACAAACCATGTGTATTTGAATTTATCTGATAAAATATTCATCAGTGAAAGCATTGTTAAAGCTGATTATGAAACGTAATGACTCGAATGCAAAGATGATCGATCTGATTCTCACCTTGCACTGATCTGTTTGTTTCTTAGCACGTGGCTCAGCTCGTAATCTTGTGACTGAAAACATTACACCAACCACAATCAACACTTCGTGGACTTCAGCTCCAGGCAACGTGTACAACTATCGAGTCACCTGGAAATCTCTCTTTGATGATGATAGTGGAGAGAAGTGGGTCCCTGGATACAGCACCAAAACAACACTGGAGAATCTACGGCCAGAGACCAAGTACCAGATCATGGTCTATGCTTCGTATGGCAGTGGGGAAGGAGATCCACTTGAGGGAACAGAAACAACTGATGGTACAGTAAATCATGCCAAGACCACAAGACTTTTATTCTATAATGTAATGAATGTCAACCGGTTCATCTTTTGAATGGCTCCTTTGCAGACCTGTCAACATATTTTTCAAATAAAGCAGAGAGCTGCAGATGCTGGAGGTCTGAAACAAAATCAGAAACCATCAGAGAAGCCCAACAGGTCTGATAGCATCTGTGGACAAAGTCAAAAGTCACACAACACCAGGTTATATTCCGAGATAGTAGGAACTGCAGATGCTGGAGAATCCGAGACAACAAGGTGCAGGGCTGGATGAACACAGCAGGCCAAGCAGCATCATAGGAGCAGAGAGGCTGACGTTTCGGGCCTAGACCCTTCATCAGAAAAGGGGGAGGGGAAGGGGGTTCTGAAATAAATAGGGAGAGAGTGGGAGGCGGATAGAAGAGGGATAGAGGAGAGGATAGGTGGAGAGGAAACAAACAGGTCGAAGAGGCGGGGATGGAGCCAGTAAAGGTTAGTGTAGGTAGGGAGTTAGGAAGGGGATAGGTCAGTCCAGGGAGGACGGACAGGTCAAGGGGGCGGGATGAGGTCGGTCGGTAGGAGATGGAGGTGCGGCTTGAGGTGGGTTATATTCCAACAGGTTTATTCCAACAGGTTTATTTGAAATCACGAGTCCCTTCACATGATGAAGGAGCAGTTCTCAGAAAGCCTGTGATTTCATATAAACTTGTTGGACTGTAACCTGGTGTCATGCAACATTTGACTTTGTCCACTCCAATCCAACACCAGCACCTCCACATCACAGCATCTGTGAGAAGAGAGAAACACAGTTCACGTTTCGAGAACAGTGACCCTTCTTCAGAACATATTTTTAAAGTTAGGATGTCCTATCCTATTGTCCAATAAGCCCCCAAAATCTTGATTTTGGAATATAATGAGAGAAATAATCCTTTCTCTTTTTAACTCATTGATTTCTTCTCTACTGCTGAAGTGCTGACTTGTGTCCTGTTTGACAGGCACTGCCTAAGTTTCAATAATGTGCATTTGCAGGCAACATTCAGGCCCTATTCTGGTGGCTTTGCAGACATCGGTGATATCACAGCCAGGTCTGGTATTGCTTATACATGTCATAATGCACATATGTGTGCCTGCCTACGAGGAGATTTCTGAATAGCCATCAGGATTATCTAACATTGATAGTCATCTCCTTTAGCTTGTTTTTCTGGAGCTGATTTGGGTCTCAGTTGGCTAAGATCAACCAACTTAGCACTGACTGATTATCTATTCTTGAACATCCCTGACATGTCCACTTTCTCAATGATCAATACTTAACCGTATCAACTTATTCAGCAGATAAGAGCAATCTATGTATATTAAATGGAGTCTTACTTTGTGCCGTTGTATAAAACCTGTGATAGCAAGTTGGCCATTTGCTTTACATCTCTGCTGAATGTTACTATTGTCAGCAGAGATTCACTGCGCTCTCTCAAGTGCAGTTTAAAACGTTCCTGCAGCACCATGTTGAGGAAGAGCAGCAGAATTTTCCCAGTATCCTAGTCAATATTTATCCCTTATCTAATAACTCATAAGTAGATGACCTGGTCATGACTCTCTGGGAGCTTACTGTTTGTAGCTTGTTTGCCTGTTTTCCCTACATTCCCTGCATTTCCAGTACAGAGGAGATTTATAGAGTCATACAGCATGGAAGCAGACCCTTTGGCCCAATTCATCTACGCCCACCAGGATTCCTAAACTGAAGTAGTTCCATTTGCCTGCGTCTGGCCCATATCTGTCTAAACCTTTCCCATCCAGGTACCTGTCCAAATGTTTTTTTAAATGTTGTAATTGTACTTGCCTCTACCACTTCCCGTGGCAGCTCGTTCCGTATATACACCACCCTCTGTGTGAAAAAGTTGCTCTTCATGTCTTTCCCCTGTCAACTTAAATTCATGCCCCCTAGTTTGTACTCCTCTGCCCTGGAGAAAAGACCTTGGCTATTCACCCTACCTGTGCCCCTCACGATTTTATAAACCTCCAAATGGTCAGCCCTCAGCTTCCTACACTCCAGGGGAAAAATGTCCCAGCCTATCTAGCCCCTCCTTATAATTCAAACCGTCCAGTATCGGTAATATCCTGGTAAATCTTTTTTGCACCCTTTCCAGTTTAATAACATCCTTCTTATAGCAGGGAGACCAGAATTGAATGCAGGACTCCAAAAATGGCCTTACCAATGTCTTGTACAGTCACATGATGCCTTAACTCCTGCACTCAGTGCTCTGACCAATCATTTACCAGGATGTTGCCGGACTAGACAGTGTTAATTATGAAGAGAGATTGCACAGACTGAGGTTGTTTTCCTTGGAGCAGAGGAGACTGAGGAGGACATGGTTGAGATGTTTAAAATAATGAGGGGAATAGATAAAGTAGACAGGATGAAACTTTCCCCCTTTGTGGAGGGATCAATGAGCAGGGGGCATAGATTTCAGGAAGGGGCAGCAGGTTTAGTGGAGATGTGAGGGAAAATATTTTCGCCCAGAGGGTGATGGGAATCTGAAACTTACTGCCTGTAAGGCTGGTAAAGGCAGAAACCCTTGTTACATTTCAGAAGTATTTAGATGTGCACTTGTGATGCTGAGGCATACAAGGCCATGGGCTGTATGAGATTAGCATAGTTATATCGGTGCAGACTCGATGGGCCGAAGGGCCCTGTTCTGTGCTGTACATGTCTATGGCTCCATTCCAAAATGACCAAACCGACTTTTCGAAATCAAAAATCAACTCCAACATCTTTCTCTTTCTGCTGTTGAACAGCTACACCAGAGGCCAAGACCGTGACTGTATCAGACGAGACAGTCAACAGTTTCCGTGTGAGGTGGCAGCCAGCACCGGGCAATGTGCTGAACTACAGACTCTCTTACCGACCAGCCAAGGGAGGAAGGACCATTGGCACCAAGATCCCTCCTCACCTGACCACCACCGTCCTAAGACGACTCAATCCTCAGACAACATACAATGTCTCTGTCATTCCGATGTACAGAAAAGAAGAAGGAAAATTAAGATCGGGACAAGGAACAACAGGTGAGGCGGTGGTCTTTGAACTACCTGAACTGGGGTTTAAAAGGTTTCTGAATAGTTATGCCCAAGCAGCAAGCCTTGTATTTAACAGTTACTATGTTCTGTTTCTGCCGGTTATATGTCCAAAGGTAAAGTCCTCATATTTATAAGACTGTAAGAAATAGGTACAGGAGTAGGTCATTCAGCCCCTCAAATCTGCTCTACTACTCAATAGGGTAATGGCTGATCTGACATTCCTTGCATCCACTTTCCTGCCCTTTCCCTGTGATTCCCTGACTGATCAAGAATCTGTCTGGCTCAGCCTTAAATATGCATAAGGACTTTGCCATCATAGCTCTCTGTGGCAAAGAGTTTCAAAGACTCACAACCCTCTGAGAAAAGAAATTCACCCTCATCGCAGTCTTAAATTGGCGCCCCCTTATCCTAGTGGACTACTTTATCATTAGAGAGAGAGACAATTGATGGTGAGTTGAACTTGAGGGTCACGCACGTCAACAAAGGGGAGTGGTTGTGAAGTGGCTTTTCATTGTAATCTCAGCTAGTGTGGCATTGAACCCATGCTGTTGGCATCACTCTGCATAACAAACCAACAGCAAGTCAACTGAGCTGCGATACAATTAAAGACTTGTGTTCTATTGTCAGTCCAAGCATTTGAACACACAATCCAACCGACATTACTGTGAGCGATATGCTTCACGGTTTGAGGAGACATTAAGCTGAAGCCTAATCTGTCCTCTCAGGTGGATGTAGAAGATCCCATGGCACTATTCCAAATAATGTCCTGATTGATATCCTGGACAATATTTATCTCTCAGTCAACATTACAGAAATGCAGATTGTCTGGTCATCGCCACAGTGCTGTTTGTAAGCTCTTGTTATGCACCTATTAATTGCTGTCTTTTCTTTCCCATGACGATGGACAATGACTGCTTAAATAAAACATCTTCATCCAATGTCACCAATAGCAGTTTCTGTGCTGAAGTGCAGTGAAAACAAATTCTGCTCCTTTGAATTCTAGTGGCCATCTGTAAGGCCCTTAAATACTTATTTCAGATCTGTCAACATAGATTGGCATAGCCTAATGTTTGATTCTCTGTCTCTCCTGGGAAATCCTCCAGGCTGCCAGATGGGTTGGGAGTATTGGTATCGTGTTGACAAGACATCATAACTATATGGGTCGCTCTGGGGAGTGTTGTTCTGTTCCTGCCTGCATTCTAATGTACTGAAATTTAGTAAATTGCTTTAACACATTGCATTTAGTAACATTTGTGATGATGTTCAGTGACTAATATTGGATTGTTTTCCCCTCTTTAACAGCCTCACCATACAAACCTCCACAAAACTTACAAACCTCTGAACGTGCCCGGACAAGCTTCAGAGTGACCTGGGAGCCAGCCCTGGGGGAAGTCACTGGATATAAGGTCATCTACCATCCCAGGGGAAGAGAAGAACAGCAGGGAGAAATGGTATTGGGGCCATATGATACAACCGTGGTACTGGAGGAGCTGAGGTAAACACAAAATTGAATGTTTTCTTGTTTGTAAACGATTGATCTTTTAGAACTGAGATGAGGAGGAATTACTTCAGCTAGTGATACCCTTCCACATGTATAATGTCTTGTCTCCTGTGGAATACATTGCCACAGAAGCCTGTGGAGACCAAGTCATTGAGTGTCTTGAAGACATGGATGGATGAGTTCTTCATTAGTAAAGGGATCAAAGTCTAAGGGGAGAAGGCAGGAGAATGGGGTTGAGAAACACATCAGCCATGGTTGAATGGTGGTGCAGACTCGATGGGCTGAATGGTCTAATTCTGCTCCTATGTCTTATTGCTAGAGGTGGTATACAATGATGCTAATGTCACCAGTTTATTCCTTATACCATGTGTGGGAGATCATGGAAGACTGCTCCTCACCTCCCCCCATTCTTTGTTTGTCTAGGGACAAACTTTTGGGAGGGTTTAATTGATTGATTGATTTATTGTCACATGTATTGGAAAGCAGTGAAAAGCTTTGTTTACGAGCAGTACAGGTAGATGATAGTAAGCAAGGATGTACAGATCTAAGGCTGTAAAAAAATCGTAGACAGAGGCATACAGGTTACCTTGCACAGGGTGTGCGCTAGGCAAGATCAATATTAGCAAGGTCAGTGTTATTTGAGGCTAGAGAGTCCATTCATCAGTCTGATAATGGCTGGAAAGAAGCTATTCCTGAACCTGTTCAGGCTTCTGTATCTTCTGCCTGACAGAAGAGGTTGTAGGAGGCCATTACAGGGATGGGATGGGTCTTCGATGATGTTGGCCGCCTTTCTGTGGCAATGAGCCATGTAAATAGAGTCCATGGATGGAAGGTTGGTTTCCATGTTGGTCTAGGTTGTGCACACCACCTTCTGTAGTTTCTTATGGTCCTGGGCAGAGCAGTTGTCAAACCAGGCCGTTATGCACCCGGATAGTATTCTTTCAATGGTGCAGCTGTAGAATTTGGTGAGGGGCCTTATGGACATGCCAAATTTCCTGAGCCGCCTGAGGTAGAAGAGGCGTTGCTGTGCCGTCTTGACTGTTGCACCTATGTGGGATGAAGAGGTATTCAATCAGCCAGTGATACCTTTCCAGATGTACAATGAGTTGTCTCTCTCTTTAATGGAGAAAGATGCCTGTGGTCCTTCATAGATTAATTATCACTGACCAGAGAAGATCTGGAAATATGGTTAGTTGAGAGGTTGGATTAAGGTCTCGAGATCCCCTACTTTGATTTTACTAACTTTGTAGAGCAATTACCAATGACAGACCATAGCTTCCTGCCAGAAATAGATGAAAGTAATCAGGATGGATATCAGTGAGGAGCACTGGCTTCCTCTCTGTAAATCGACTATGATGAACCAGGGACCGCGTGCTCAGGATATTTACACATTGCTTCAATAATGCACTACATTTTTTTAAACACATTCATGCATTGTGGACATTGCTAGCTAGGTAAGTATTTACTGTCCATCCCTAACTGGAAGGTTTGAGCTATAAGGAGAGGCTGGATAGTCTGGGACTTTTTCCCCTGGAATGTCAGAGGCTGAGGTGTGACCTTATAAAGGTTTACAAAATCATGAGGGGCATAGATAAAGTAATGACCAAGATCTTTCCCTAGGGTAGGGGTGTCCAAAACTAGAGTGCATAGATTTAAGGTGAAAGGGGAAAGATTTAAAAGGGACCTGAAGGGTGACTTTTTCACACAAGGTAGTATATGGAACGAGCTGCCAGAGGAAGTGTGTGGAATTGGATTTCCCCTGGGATTCTCCTGCTCATCTTCCATAGCTCTGTCAGGAGACTAACACAATTCCTGGAAAAATGGGATACTTTTTACCCCATCCTCCTAAGATTTCTGAAGCTCTTACACTAAGGCTATGGGGAAGAGTGGGGAAAACTCTGGCATTCTAACCTTATTTTTATAGTTTCCAGGTTTGTGGAGCTAAACAGTTAAAATGCAGATTATCCATGTAATTATATCATGCTGAAATTACACACATCTACCAGTGGAGGTGCTGTATCTTGGCGTACTCAGTTTTGTCTATCCTCTGCTGTATTTAGTTTTTTTGTTCATTCACGGGACGGAGGGTGTTGCTGGCAGGGCCAGCATTTATTGCCCATCCCTACTTGCCCCAGAGGGCAGTTAAGAGTCACCCACATTACTGTGGGCCTGGAATTACATGTAGGCCAGACCCAGTAAGGATTGTAGTTTCCTTCCCTAAAGGATATTAGTGAACCAGATGGGTTTTTCCAACAATCGACAATGGACTCATGGTCATCATTAGACTCGTAATTCCAGAATTCAAATTCCACCATCTGCCGTGGCAGGATTCAAGCCCAGGTCCCCAGAACATTACCTGGTTCTCTGGATTAACAATCCAGTGATAGTACCACTAGGCCATTATCTCCCAATTAAACTTCCTCAACCCCTTGAATACATTCTAGCCCATAACTCACTCCCATTTATCCGTTATTCCACATGTAAACCCTATCAATCTACCCATGAGATGATTGCTGCCTACTGATTTTCTGATATCTGTTCCTTTGCAGAACATTGATCGTTGGATTTGTGGTCCGATTTTGATGGGCCAAGTTTTAAAAATTGGTTATTCAAAGGGAAGTAAAATCAGGCTACTGAGAAATGATGTGCTGATTTGCCTCAATAAGTTTAAGAATTCATTTATGCATTGTCAGAGGTCTCAGGCAACTCCTGTTTAACCATGCAGAACTCTAAATTTTTACGTATCTTTTGTGTTTAAAATTTGGCCGTTTAAGCTCTTCCAAATGTGTATGATTGGAAGGAGAAAGGCCAGACCTTTTGTAATTTGCCGTATTAAATGTTATTTGTATGGAGAATTCTGGGTAAAGAGCCAAGGGTAATTGTTCACCCAGCCTGGAATAGGATAGAAGGGGAGAATGATATAAAGTAGGGAGAGGCGACATTCCCAAATTTGAGATTTCAGTGTTCACTCTTGTAAAGTACTCTGATTGTGGGGTAATCAAGCACACTGCTTGACCTCACAGAAGTGCAAAGAGCCCTGATGAGATCAGAGACCCTGAAAATATGTTTTTTTGCCCCCTTCTTCTTATTCATAATAAAACAGCAGCAGTGAACTGAAACCGAATAGAATCATCATTACTGATTTGGAAGGAGTGACAGTGATGAAAGAATGATTGCAGCCCAGTTTGGGAAATGTGGTGGCTGGTTTGCATTACTTTCTTTGCTGCAAACATCTTCTTTTCATTACACTCTGGTTGACCAAATTGCCTTTCTGCCAGCCCTTGGTTATCACTTCACCGGAACACAAAGGTCCCCGTGCCACAAGAAACGATTACAGGTTGACCTCCTATCCCCACTTGATAGCCATCGATAACTGCGCCCTCCTTTAACTCTGTTGAAAATGCTTATTGGTTGCTTTATATGTTTTCCATTAGACCATGATGTCACTGTTTTCATATTTTCTTTTAGCTTCCTCCTTTAATTTTTTTTTAACTCAGATTACTTTATAGTTAAGTCACCTCCCATTGGTGCAATTAAATATCAGTGTTCCATATATTTGCTAAACTATGTTACCAATTACTTGATTGAGTGGGGAAGGTAAAGCCTGAAACAGATTTTGATGCTCATGAGGGAGTTATCATATTTAAACATTTATTTAATGCTGTTTTGATTGCAACCATTTGGAATAGTTTGTCAGTCAAAGGCCCTCAGTGCTATTAAAAAGAGCCAGATACAGAATGCCTGTAGAACATTCTTTCATATTCTCATGGTGTTCTCTATACATAACAGCTCGCTCGAAAGCCTGTCTGGCAGATGAAGCTTTGCTAACCATCTGGTTCCAGCAGAATGATTCGTTTTATTACATGTTTTGTCAATCTGTTCTGAGCTGACCCTAAGCTGAGCTGATGACTGTGCATCCTGTCCGGTGCCACAATCACCTGTCTCTCCTTCCGCAAAGTCCGCCCCTCCACCCCTGCCTGAGATCATCTACTGCTGAAACTCTTGTCCATGACCATCTCACTTCCAGTTTCAGCTATTCCAACATTCCCTTGGCTGTACTTTTCGTCCTCCAGAAATCTGAGCTCATTTGGAACTATGAATCATACAGTACAGAAGGGGCTCTTTGGCCCATCAAGTCCGTACTGCTAAAAATATACTATTACCTGCAATAGTCCCACTGTCCTGCACCAGATCTACGGCCTTGAATGTTACTTCAAAAGTAGTCGCAGTCAGACTCAAACCTGTAATCGTCTGTTCTCAGTATCCGCAGAAGTACCAAACCCCCTCTCACTCAAGACCTTTATTCTCACTGGCCCCTGCTTCTGCCAGCGCCTCAGATTTAACAATTTCAGTTCTGAGGAAAGGTCACCGGACCCGAAAGGTTAACTCTGATTTTTCATCACAGATGCTGCCAGACCTGCTGAGCTTTTCCAGCAACTTCTGTTTTTCCTTCCTGATTTACAGCATCCACAGTTCTTTCGGTTTTTAACAATTTCATAGTGTGGTCGAATGGCCTCAGCCCCCATGAGCCCAAACATCACTCTACATCAAACCCACGCACCTCAACCTCCAGGATATCTATGCTCCTTCAGTTATGAAACCTTGTGCATCCCTAATTTTGTAGCTGTGTAGCTTTCTGAATCCCGAGCTCTTAAATCCCCTCCCTAAGCCCTTCTACATCTCTCTCCTCCATTTAAGTTGATCCTTTTAAAATTTATACTGACCGGTCAGTTCCCTGTGTCTCCCTGTGTGGTGCGATGTAAGGTTTATTCAATAATGCTCAGGTGAAATTTCTCAAAACTCTGAGAAGCTGGAAGGGGAGATCAGAGATAAAGGGGATGGAGGCAGATAGGTTGGTGGTGGAGGAGGGGTGGAGGTGCAGGCAGGATGCAGGAGGCATTGTTCATCTCAGTTTCTCCTAAACCGTGCCTAAAGGACTCTGCCCAACATCATTCCTAGCTGCTGTGAGAGAAATTGTGGCAATTTCGGTTGAGACACTATGGAAAGGATATGGAGGCTTTGGAGAGGGTGCAAAAAAAGTTTATCAAGATGTGAGAGTGGATTGGAGTGTATTGGCTGTAAGGAAAGGTTGGACAAGCTCAGATTGTTTTCGCTAAAGCGTTGGAGGCTGATGGGTGACCTGATGAAAGTATGTAAAATTATGAGGCGCATGGATAAGATGGATAGTCAGAGTCTTTTTTCCAGATGAACTGGAAAAGTCTAGGGCAGATGTTTAAAGGGAGAGAGGGAAAGCTTAAAAGAGATGTGCAAGGCAGGTTTTTTGTGTAGAGTATGTTAGGTACCTGGAACGCGCTGCCTGCAGAGCTGGTAGAAGCAGATACAATGGCATTGTTTAAGAGGCATTTAGACAGAGACATGATCAGGCAGGGAATAGAGAGATACAGACCATGTGCAGGCAGATGGGATTAATTTAGAATGGCATCATGCTCAGCACAAGCATGGTGGGCTCAGTATTAGAGCTCTCCTATTCTATTTTCTATGTTCTGAGTGTTTTAGTCCAGCAATAACTGTACATTATGATAACGAATGCTGAGTTCTGAAGTAGGGTCACTGAACTTGAAACAATTATTCCGTTTGTCTCTCCACAGATGCTGTCAGACCTGCTGAGTTTCTCCAGCAGTTTCAGTTTTTGTAGTAAATGCTAGGTCTGGGGATTGAGTTGCGGGAGTGACTACTCATAAATGATTTTTTTTCTCTCTCTCTCTCTCATACCTTTTTGGAATTATTACTAACTGGCTATAGGTGTTGCCTCACAATGAAGTGATCAATTTGATTGCAAGGCAAACATTTTGATATGAACTATTATGTCAAATTGTGTTTTGTTTCCAGAGCTGGAACCACCTATAAAGTGGCTGTTTCCGGAATGTTTGAGGATGGCGAAAGTGCCCCACTGTATGGGGAAGAACAGACGACCCTCTCTGAAGAAGCAAAGGAGAAACCTCTTGGACCACCAGGTAATGAGTTTACTGATTGACCAGTGACTTAACATGAAACTTCTCTCCAAAGCAGCGACATGTTAGATGTTGGCAGTAATGGGAACGTAAGGATCCCTTTCAGCTACCCAAACCTGACTTGGAAACCTTCCTGTACCTAGAGGTTCATGGAGCAGACATAGCACATGCTTAGGTCTGTGATCTCTCACTTGTTTTCCCTGGTGAAAGTCAGATGCCTCAAGTGTCACGGACCAGGAGTTAGAAAGAACTGCAGATGCTGGAGTCAGAGACAACACAGCGTGAAGCTGGAGGAACACAGCAGGCCAGGCAGCATCAGAAGAGCAGGAAAATTGACGTTTCGGGTTCCTGCTTCTCTGATGCTGCCTGGCCTGCTGTATTCCTCCAGCTCCACACTGTGTTATCAGTGACCAGGAGTCTTTCTCAATCTCTCAAAACTACCTTAGGCATTTAGGAAGGATTTACAAAAAGACAACATACCAGTAAGTTCTAAACACACAGGCCCTCAAGTGGGACTTGAATCTGGAGCTTCTATCTGAGAGTCAAGGCACTACCCACTGCATCACAAGACCTCCCTTGCTTCAAATCTGATCTGCCATAAAATTATATCATAGCTGACCTGAATCTTAACTCTATTGGTTCCATAATAGCCATACCAGATAAAAATCTTCATATCAGCTTAAATTTTTCAGTTGACATCACCTCAAAAACTTTTAAGAATTTAATATTAGAATTTTTAAAAAGTTATTTTTGTAAGTAGATAATTTACTGGATATAGAATGAATGGAGTGATGAGTAGCAAGATAGATGGATAAAGGAGAATCTTTTAAAACTAGATGTGGTTGATGCACATGGGTTTTCAAAAGTCATTTGACAAACTATCATGAAAGGCTATGATATAAGGAGGAACATGGATAAAGGATTGGTTAGTTAATAATTAGTTACCCAGGAAGCAGCCATTAATGACACTCACATCCTTTTTTTTTGGGATGGCAAGCTGTAATTGTGTAAGTGCTACAGACATCACTGCTCGCACCTCAGCTTTTAAAACTTATATCAATGACTTCAATGTGGTGACTGAACGCACAGTAGCTAAATTTGCCAAGGAAACCAAGATTGGTAAGCAAGTAAAAGCGAAATATTGGAGATGCTGGAAATCAAAAACAAAGAACACTGGAGAAGCTCAGCAGGTTTGGCAGCATCTGTAGAGCAAGAGAAACAATGTTAATGTTTCAAGTTTGTTCTGAGTGAGACTCAAATGGGACTCAAAATATTAACTCAGTTTCTCTCTCCACAGATGCTTCCAGACCTGCTGAGTATAATTTGCCTTTTCAGTGTTTGTTTTGGTAAGAGGTATTCAAGAGTCTTAAAATGGATATGGACTACTCAAGAGGGAATGCAACAAAATGGCAGATGCAGTATAATGTGGGAGCTGGTGAACTTTGGCAGTATGTTATTTAAATGGAGGAGGGTTGCAGCAGAAGGTACAGAAGGATCTGGTGGTTCCGGTACATGAATTGCAATAAACTAGTGTGCAGTTACAGCAAGTGATTGGGATACAAATAGAATATTGGTGTTTCTTGCTAGGTACATAGATTGTCGAAGTAGAGAAACTTTACTGAAGGTATACAGAGTGTCGACCACTTCTGGAGTACTGTGTACAATTTGGTCTCCTTATTTGAAAAAGAATACAATTACATTAGAAACATTACAAAGCATTTTCATTTGATTTATTCCTGGGATAAAGGGCTTTTCTTGTGAAACGAGTTTGAAGAGATTGGGCCTTTTCCCATTAGATTTTGGAAGAATGACAGGTGATCTTTTTGAAAGATATAAGATTGTGAAGGGGATCTTCAGGGTTGATGACGAACATATCACTCCCCTTAACATAAGACCTCTTTCTTTTAAGATGGAGATAAGGATACATCTTTTCTCTCAGAGAGTCATTTGCTTTAGAAAATTTCTTCCCCAGAAAACAGTGCAGGCTGAGTCATAGAATTTAGTCAAAGCTGAGTTAGATAGATTTCTATGCAATGTAGGAGTCAAGGCTTATGGGAAGCAGAACAAAAAGTGGAGCTGACAGCACAAGATCATCCATGATGTTACTGAATTGTAGAGGAATCTTGACGAGCCAAAGTGCCTACACCTGCGCCTATGTCCTATTTTCTTATGAATGTCTTTGTGTGACAATGGTTTTATGTTGTCTTGAGGAGCTTTTACAGCAAATGAAGATGTTAAAGAGATGTAGAATTTGATCCATATTCATACTTCTCTTAAGTTTTCTTCCCAATTCTTCCATGGACCTAATCCTGAAATCTTAATCCTACTCTCATTGCCAGACAATCAATTTATATTATACTCACCTGAACAATTTGCTGGTTAATTTCAGCACATATTCACTCACCACCTACTGGAATATGGGAGAACGAGGGTTTGGGCAGGGGCTAGGTGCTGAAAATGCAACCTATGGACCTACCTTCTTTGATCTTCACTAGATCCTCATAGACCCTTACTGAAAGAGATCAGGAAACCACTTTAAATATATAATACAGGTTTCAGTGATACCATTGGCATCTGACTACAACCTTAACCTCAGACTAGAAAGGTGCACTTTACCTCTCAGTCACGTCAATGTTGTCAGGGTTTTTTATTGCTGCCTCCATGGGGGCTGGGGACTGTCAGCCATGGTTATTGGACCAGTTGCATGTTCCTTCATCACCAGAGTGTACTGCTGTCATCCTTAGTACTGCCTGCAGGGGGAGTTCCCGAGCACCTTCAGTGCAAAGAACTCCAATTGTCATTTGTGAGAATAAAGTAATAAAGTTAGGACATTGTGCATGTGCGTGTGTGTGTGTGTGTGTGTGTGTGTGAGAGAGTGTGTGTGTGTGTGTGTGTGTGTGTGTGTGTGTGTGTGCGCGCACTCACACGCATATGAATTGAATTCCCTCAGACTGAGATCCAAATTCTGTCCTCTTATGAACATTTAATACACTCATATGAATCTCCCCTCTGCACTCCGTCAATGCAGATATGAATGCCTGTGCAGAGGTGAATTTCTGTGCAAATGTTTTCACTAAATCTAACTTAATCGAGTCAATTCTGCATTTTAAACAGTGACCCCACACTTCTAAAGTGGCAATAAGATAGTCACAAAACTAACTGCCTCAGGGTAACAAAGTCAAATTACGTTCATATAAACCATACTTTTGCATTTGGTTAGCTCAGTTGGCTGGATTGCTGGTTTGAAATGCAGAGTGATGCCAACAGCTTGGGTTCATTGCCCACAGAGGCTGTGATTACCACAAGGGCTCTCTTTCTGAACCTATACCCCTTCCTGGAGTGTGGTGACCCTCAGATTTAAACTTACCAGCAGTTATTTCTGTCTGCTGAAAAAGTAGGGCTATGGTGACTTCATTGTATTCTACCATATCACACTGACTGTGATGCTCATTGATAATATTATAAATATTTCATAGGGGATGATATTGAATTATGTTGTATGTCAGCAATTATTTTGCTTCAGTAGAATTGCCCATCACAATTCTAAACTACAACATACAGCAACAAATAAATGGTGTCACCATACTGTTCCAATATAAGTTATTCCAAAGAATACTCAGATGAATTGAATTAGTTTTATTGTCACATGTACTCAGTGCATATAAGAACATAAGAACTAGGAGCAGGAGTAGGCCGTCTGGCCCTTCGAGCCTGCTCCGCCATTCAATAAGATCATGGCTGATCCTTTCGTGGACTCAGATCCACTTACCCGCGTTCTCACCGTATCCCTTAATTCCTTTATTGTTCAAAAAAAATCTACCTTTTTTTTAAAAACATTTACTGAAGTAGCGTCAACTACTTCACTGGGCAAGGAATTCCACAGATTAACAACCCTCTGGGTGAAGAAATTCCTTCTCAATTCAGTCCTAAATCTGCTCACTCTAATCTTGAGGCTATGGTGAATAGTTTATAAATCACCACTTACCGCACTGTCTTAGGTACAAAGGCATCTAGGTACAACTTCTTCAGTTACAGATTAGTTACAGTGTAATAATGTCACCAACCCTAGGTACAATCCTTAGCTCAGAATAAAGAAATGAAGAAAACAAAAGTTACGTTACATCTTTACACAGTAGAGCCATAGGTCAGAAAAACAAACAAAGTTAAAAAGACTGACGTTGCAGTCCCACTCCAAGGGCTCTCCATAGCAGCCCAGCACAGGGGGTCTCCATGTGCTCTGACTGCCGGATGTCACCTCTGGGCCACTGCCACCAAAGGTATTCTAAACTCTAGCATGCATTAGAGTAGGAACACATTCGCAGTGTGTGTCAGGTATTTCAAACAGCTGTGCTGTCATATTTCAGGCAGGAAAAGGTTGTTGCACATTCAGCTACTGACTGCAAATGCTTAAACCTTCCTCCAGTTTCCTTGCCATTGAGTGGAACTACTTGCCTTACCTCCAAATATTACTAAATGCAAACAGTGGACAGATTCAGGGCTTACAGATTAAAAACTGTAATTTAAGAATAATAGATTCATTTGAATATAGGCTTTGGAGATCCCACTCAGAACAGTAGAATAATCAATCTTCAAAGCACTGAATTTTTCCCTGTTATTGTTTTCTCCGATTCCTTTACATTCAGATATTAACCTGTTTATTTTAAATGAATTGATGTAACACACAGAAGTAATGAGTGTACTAAGTGTTTGTATGGGAAATTTGGAAGTCTGCTCTAACTATTGCAGAGTTTAGCAATGTAGCTACTAAGATGCCTTTACCACTTCAAAATATAAAATTTGTTCTTTTTTTTCCAGTCATGAGCATGTACAGTCTATATGTCGCGCATGGATCAGAGACTCTAATGATTATTTATTCCTTTGTGAAACCGTAACATTTTCAGTTTTGACATTTACACAGAAGACAACGTTCCTCCACTCCCGTTCCCTTTTCATTTTGCAGCTAGCGCTACGTACCTGCTTACAATACTCCAGCCAATGAAAGCAGGAACCGTACATGAGCACAGAAGAAACATATTAAGCTATGGAGTGGATGTTTCTTGAAATTTCCAAGATGGGTACAAATGAGGCCAAAAGCTGGAAGTCATTGCAATATCAAGTAACCAGCAATTATGTGGATTGTCATGAAAACAGCAAAAAAGAAAGACAAACAAAATGTTGTTGAAACATATGCAAGCACTTATGCATTTAAATAAAAATTCCCCTCAAACCTTTTCTGTGTCTTGTCATCTTTGGTGTTTGTGCAATGCAATCCTTCATATTTTCATCCCGTTTTCTGGAGATTTCTGCCTCGAGTTAAAGGGAGTTTTTCTATATTTTAGTTTGTTTATGAGAACAATTGGAATTGTGGAATCTGGGAACTGTTTTTAGCCTATTTGTGCTGTGTTCTCATACAGAAATCACAAACACATATGTAACAATATTAACCTACATGAATTGAGTTAGAATTGAGTGTTTGACTTACAATTCATCACTTTTATTGATTTTGATGTTTTTACAGTATTTGATTTGGAATTGGACACAATGACTGTTTGTTTTTGAATTCGAAGGATCTTCAAAAACATTGGGCGACTTTCAGCAGGATAGCATTAAGGGGACAATAATTAACCTAATACAATATCCCTTATTCAAAATGAGCTGGTGAGGAAGATGGTAATCCAAGGCTGTTCATTGTTCAGTTGCTGTAAGCAAGGAATATTATATTTGGATATTTGGCAATCGATTTCTAGTAGTTTTGTCCTTTTGCATTACAATCTAATTCACCCATTGGAAAAATGCATTAATAATTCCGCATTACTTCAATTTCCAATTCAAAAATCTTAATTCAGTATTAAGTTTAGAATGTTATTATTTGTAGCTCTATGCTCGGATTACCATATAACCATCTACCACTGTCCAAGGTGTTTTAGCTTTAAAGGGGAACAATCTTCATTCAAAAAATAGTTGCTAAGATTTATTTTCTGGTCTGCTTAAAAATATGAGGCACAAAGATGTGAAATGTAACAAGAAGCGTCATTGTGTTACTTGTATGTGATGGCATTGTGTGGCAAAAGTGGCAAAAAAATTGTCTGAACTCTTGTCACGAAAGCATTGCCAATTATAACCCCAATTTAATTCCCAAGGTTGATAGAGATTACTTAATGTTAATTGCAAAGGTGAGCATAACAGCAAATTTCAACCTGATTTGCTTGTGTTTCTTAGCCAAATTCTAATGCAAATTGTCTTTTATGTTTTGTTAATTTATACAATTTATTGCTAAATAATGGTATCTGCTGCCTAACATATACATTTTTCTCCTTTTGAAGTAGGTTAAAATTTTACGCCAGAGGTTTGTTCTTCGTAGTAACTGTTTTTCACTGTGACAGGGCTGCAATGTACCACTAAGGCAGCTGCTGATATTGTGCTGCTTGTGGATGGATCTTGGAGTATCGGGCGACTTAATTTTCGCCAGATCAGGAGCTTCATCGGCAAGCTGGTTCAAGCCTTCGACATCGGCCCAAGAAGAGTCCAGTTTGGTGAGCTCTCGCAGAATCCTCCTTGATTCTGTCAATTTGCTATTTCATTTCTCCAAGCAACAAAATAAAATGACATGGCTCACTGTACTGCTTGAATGTTCTTAGGTCTGACTCAGTACAGCGGAGACCCAAGGACCGAATGGAACCTGAACCAGTACAGAGACAAGAAGAGTTTACTTGATGCTGTAGAAACTTTACCTTACAAAGGTGGCAACACCTTAACAGGTAAGCTATTTTATCCTGTGGATCTGGATGATCTTTTAGAAACATAGACCATTCAGCCTCTTGAATCTGTGCTGTCTTTTAGTTAGTTCACAGATGACCTGTAGCTGATCATGACTTGAACCAGTCTCTAACGAAGACTAGCTATTACAGAATCACTGCTTCTACACTCTCTCCAATGCATTCATACCCTTCCTATAATGTGATGCCCAGGATTGTACACAATACTCCTGCTGAGGTCTAACAAATGTCTTAAACAAGTTGAACATCACCTTCTTGCTCTTCCACTGTATGCCCTTATCAATAAAAACAAGGATACTGTGAGCTTTACTTACTGCTCTGTCTAACTACCCTGCAACCTTCAATGATCTGTACACTTATGCCCCTCTACTCCTGTACCCACCCACCAGAATTGTACTCCCTATTTTATATTATCTTTCAATGTTTTTCTGACCAAAATGCATCACCTTACCCTTCTCTGCATTGAACCTCATCTGCCACTTATCCTCCCACTCTCCCAACTTGTCTATGTTCTTCTGGAGTTCCACACTGTCCTCCTCACAGTTTACAATTCTTCCAAGCTAAGTTGGTTTCCCCATACCTTTACCTTTTTATTAAATTCATTCATGGGATGTGGGCATCACTGGCTGGGCCAGCATTTATTGCCCGTCCCTAGTTGCCCCCTTGAGAAGGTGGTGGTGAGCTGCCTTCTTGAACCGCTGCAGTCCATGTGCAGGACCCACAATATCCTTTGGGATGGAGTTCCGTGATTTTGACCCAGCCACACTGAAGGAACACACGGTGGTGAGTGGCTCGGAGTGGAACTTGCAGGTGGTGGTGTTCCTAGGTATCTGCTGCCCTTGTCCTCTAAATGGAAGTGGTCATGGGTTTGGAAGGTGCTGTCTAAGGAGCTTGTCGTGGGTTTTGTGTTTGGAATACCTTTGCTGTAACGCTAAACACAGCCTGTAAATAAGCGTGGGGGAGCCATACCATCAGACACAAATTTCCCCAATGCACATCACCCCTTGTACTCAAGGCCAGATCATCAGTCTCTGCTTGTGACGGCTGACCAGATTATAGCACAAGTTTAACCTTTCTAACTCTGAGGTGGGGTCAGTGATCTGTCTGCGCAGCCGTGAATCCCCCCACTGCCTTTTGGTGCATTTTTCTAGACCCATGTTCTAATCTCTCTCCTAGTAAATTGGAGCAGAGAACATCTTTAGCCAAAGCTTTCAACCAATTCCCACTCTCAGTTTATTTCTCAATGAATCCTCTCTCAATAATTAATCCAACTTGCCCTTTTTTAATGCGATTCTCTCAATGTTATTTTCAGGCATGGCTCTCAGCTACATATTGCAAAACAACTTCAAGGCTGATGCTGGTGCTCGGCCAAATGCACGTAAGATTGGTGTCCTCATCACTGATGGCAAGTCACAAGATGATGTTGCCGTTCCCTCAGAGACTCTACGCAACATTGGAGTGGAGCTGTATGCTGTTGGTGAGTTGACATGGTGTGTAACAGAGTGTGAAACTGGAAAGAAGAGAAGGCAGTTAAAGGTATTGAAGATAACTTGGTCAAAACAGTCTGTGCAGAAGATTTTCTAAACTCAACCAACCAAGATGATATCGCCATTCAGGATGAATATTGTATCCTAAATTATAGTCGAATTTTTATGAGAAGCTGACACTTTCACTGATACCAAACTTTCTTTCCATTTTTTAAAACTAAGTTGAATGTCAAACATCTATGGAGGGACTTAAGCTTGCATTCTCTAGATTGCTAGATCAGTAATAACTGCATTGTTACCAAATGTATCAATATTAATACCTGCAATATTATTTCTAAAAAAATGACTTTGCAATGGGTATGCTTTGAAGAGGTAGTAAAAATCACAGCTTGTTAATTTTAGTATTGAAGTTAGATATACAATTCTGCTCTGAATACTGAGCATTGGAAACCATCTGTCAGTATTTACTGTAGCCATATTGCAGAGCATTAGCCAGGGGCATTGGATTGTTAGCCTGGTTACATTTCAACTATATCGCTTTCTTGAGTACAGGCTGTTATCGAGTCTGATGTTCTTGCTTAGGTATTAAAAATGCGGATGAAGCTGAATTGAAGCAGATTGCGACAGATCCAGACAGCATCCATGTGTACACTGTGGCTGATTTTGCCCTGCTCATCGAAATTGTTGATGACCTCACCACGAACCTCTGTAACAGTGTCAAGGGGCCAGGTACGAAATATCGTTCCAGAATTTGATTTTACCAAGTGCTGTGCAGAGAATCATGTTGCAGTAAAAGTGCCCACTCAGCCCATTGTACCCGTACTAGGTCTTGGAAAAAGCTATCTAATTTGCCCAACTGCCCCTTTAGCCTTCCAATTCCTTTAGTTTGCAAGTATTTCTATGATTCTCTTTCAATTCAAGGAGTCAAAATGGACCGACAAAGTTTCAATTTGCTGCCTGCTATTAGATGGTTTTATAAAGTCAAGACTGTACTACGTCAGGTGTCAGATCTCTCGGTGGGAGAGCATTTCGGTGATAGTGATCACAACTCCCTGACCTTTACTATAGTCACGGAGAGGGATAGGAGCAGACGGTATGGGAAAGTATTTAATTGGGGGAGGGGGGATTACAATGCTATTAGGCAAGAACTATGGAGCACCAATTGGGATCAGATGTTCTCATGGAAATGCATGACAGAAATGTGGAGGTTGTTTAAGGAGCAGTTGCTACAGGTACTGTATAGGTTTGTCCCACTGAGACAAGGAAAGGATGTTAAGCTCTAGGAACTTTGGATGACAAGACATCTTGAACACCTAGTCAAGAGGAAGAAGGAAGCTTACTTAAGGTTGAGGAAGCAAGGATTGGACAGGGCTCTAGAGGTCTACAAGGTAGCCAGGAAGGAACTGAAGAATGGACTTAGGAGAGCTAGAAGGGGGTATGAGAAAACCTTGACGAGTAGGATCAAGGAAAACCCCAAGGCTTTCTATACTTATGTGAGGAGCAAGAGGATGGCCAGTGTGATGATAGGGCCAATCAGGGACAATGGAGGGAACTTGTGTGCAGAGTCAAAGGAGGTAGGGGAGGTCCTTAATGAATACTTTGCTTCAGTATTCACCAGTGAGAGGGACCTTGACGTTTTTGGGAACAGCATGAAACAGGCAGATATGCTCGAACAGGTTGTTGTTAGGAAGGAGGATGTGCTAGAAATTTTGAAAAACATGAGGATAGATAAGTCCCCTGGGCCAGACGGGATATACCCAAGGTTATGGAGGAATGACAATATGTATCCAATTCAGAGAACATAGAACATAGAACATAGAACATTACAGCGCAGTACAGGCCCTTCGGCCCTCGCTGTTGCGCCGACCTGTGAAACCAATCTGAAGCCCATCTAGCCTACACTATTCCATTATCATCTATATGTTTATCCAATGACCATTTAAATGCCCTTAAAGTTGGCGAGTCTACTACTTTTGCAGGCAGGGCATTCCACATCCTTACTACTCTCTGAGTAAAGAACCTACCTCTGACATCTGTCCTATATCTATCACCCCTCAATTTAAAGCTATGTCCCCTCATGCTAGCCATCACCATCCGAGGAAAAAGGCTCCCACTGTCCACCCTATCTAATCCTCTGATCATGGAACTTGGAGAGGTATTTGGAAATAATGGTGTTTCCATTAAGGTCATGCTGCCCTTGATGTTCCAGATGATGGAGGTTGCAGAGTTTGGGAGGTGCTGCTGAAGGAGCTTTAGCAAGATGCTTGGGATTGTCCATCAGTCAGTTTGGGAACCATGAGAAATGGGTGGGTGCTAAGCTATCCGGGTGAGTACTAGAGGGATCTACTCATGTTCTCTCTTGTCATTTGCTGTTGTAGGTGACTTGAATCCTCCAAGAAACCTGGTTACCTCTGAGGCAACTCATCGCTCTTTCCGGGTAACGTGGGATCACTCTGATTCAAGCTTTGATCGGTACAGGGTGGAATACCAACCAGTAGCTGGAGGGAGACCAGAAGAGGTTAGTTAACAGCTTTTCAAGTGTTATGTAAATATTAATGAAGTCAAATTGAGACAACTGTTAAGAGGTCAAACTTTAGTCTATGTGGTTGTACATTTATTTATTTTGTACTTGATCCCTCCTCCTGCCCCACAATCAGCACGTTGTGCCGTGTGGTCAAACAGTGACCACTGTGTTATGAGCATGCAGTTGCAGGAAAGTCACCCAACTGTATATTCAAAATGTATGTGGTCTTTCTTGAGTTCACAGGGCCAAGAGAGAGTTTGTTTTGACATTGCTACTTGTGAGTCCGGGCACCTTCAAGCTTCAGCTGTGATCATTGTGGACTCTGCAATGATGTAATCTAGATTGGGCTCAAGCTGGAACGGACTCACACTGTAGTGGGAATGCAGCATCAGATTGACACATGAGGCCCACACCTCTCTCACAAGTGGGGCAGATACTTTATGGTTTTGCTGTCACTCTGTGTGGCTGCAGTAATGAATGCAATTGTGTTAACTTCGTCTTCCTACTCTTTCAATGAAAATGTGAAGCCATCTCTTACACAGGGAATTTCATGTAGCCATTCTGATTACCAATAAATATGGGTCAGAACCAAAGAGTCAAAACTATGTATTGTGTAGGGAACCACATGTCCAGCCTTTCTCCCTTTGTTTGCATTGTTTTACTGTCCCCAGTTCATGGCCATATTTGGATGATGGCAATATGCTCTTTCAGGTGTTAGTAGGCGGAAGAACCAAGACCACAGTATTGACAAACCTGCAGCCTGACACGGAATATGTTGTTAATGTATACGGATTACTGGAAGGAGAAGTCAGTGAACCTCTTAACGGAACAGAGACCACACGTGAGTCAGATATTATCTGCTTGTTTTTACTTATATGATAAGGTCCTTGTAACAAAAAAAGGTTTGTCAAACCTTTAAGATTGTTTTGTTTGAAATTGTTTGATTGTATTGGCAGAACACCCATCGAAACTTGGCTTCAAGCTATTTGTGACTGTTTGATGCAGTGAAAATGATCCAGCCCTATCTTGCCTGGCATGTTTCCCTAAACGTGCAAACAAAGAAATCTGCCGTACAATTTTTCTGGTGCCTCTACAGCTCTGTTTTAAGTCAAGTATTTAGTATCAGTATGTTCAACAGAGAACTGATGCAGGGAGCAGAGCTAGTAAAGTTAGCTATGCTCTTCAGTGCGCAAGTTGAGGAACATTGATGGGGCATTGCAGAGGGAGCTCCACTCTGCAGCTTGCTAGTCATAGAGTCATAGAGGCCTACAGCATTGAAACAGACCCTTCAGCCTAACCTGTCCATGTCGGCCAGTTTTCAGAATTAAACTAGTTCCATTTGCATGCGTTTGGTCCATATCCTGCTGTGCCTATGTACTTGTCTAAATGTTTCGTAAATGATGAAATTGTACTCCTTCCATCACTCCCTCTAGTAGACTATTCCAGACATTCACCACCCTCTGTGTGAAAACAATTGCCACCATGGATCCTTTTGTGTCTCTCCCTTCTCACCTTAAACCTATGCTGTCTACTTTTAGGCTCCCCTACCATGGGGTAGAATTGTTGTCCATCTACCCTATCAACCGTGCTGCCTCTGAGTGGGGAAGTCATTGACTCTGACACTCACCTGGTGATGGTTTTCCAGCAATGATGTTCAGCCTCTTGCCCTCAGTTCATTGTAGAATTGAGGGAGATCAATATTAGTAGAGAAATGGTGCTGGGAAAATTGATGGGATTGAAGGCCGATAAATCCCCAGGGCCTGATAATCTACATCCCAGAGTACTTAAGGAAGTAGCTGTAGAGACATTGGATGCATTGTTGGTCATCTTCCAGAATTCTATAAACTCTGGAACAGTCTCTGCAGACTGGAGGGTGGCTAATGTCACTCCAATATTCTAAAAGGGAGGTAGAGAGAAAACAGGAAATTATAGACCAGTGAGCCTAACATCGGTAGTGGGGAAAATTCTCAAATCCATTTTGAAGGACTTTATAGCAGAGCATGTTGAAAGCAGTGGCAAGATCAGACAGAGTCAGCATGGATTTATGAAGGGGGAATCATGCTTGACAAATCGGAATTCTATGAAGATGTAGAAGTAGAGTTGACAAGGGAGAGCTAGCCAATATGGTATATATGGACTTTCAGAAAGCGTTTGGCAAAGTCCCGCATAAGAGATTATTGTGCAAGATTAGAGTGCATGGGATTGGGGGAAGTGCATTGAGATGGATAGAAGACCGGTTGACAGAGTGGAAACAAAGAGTAGGAATTAATGGGTCCTTTTCAAATTGGCAGGCAGTAACTAGTGTGGTGCCACAGGGATCGGTGCTGAGATCCCGGCTATTCATAAAATAGAATAGAATCGTGGAATCATTATTATTAACAATATATATTAATGATTTGGATGAGGGAACAAAATATACGTCTCAAAGTTTGGAGATGATACCAAGTTGGGTGGGAAGGTGAACTGTGAAAAGGATGCAGAGATCCTTCAGCATGATCTGGAGAGGTTAGGTGAGTGGCCTCCTTTTCTGAGGAAGGATGCTCTTGCTCTCAAGGGAGTGCAGCCTAGTTTTACCAGGCTGATTCCAGAGATGGCGGGACTGATGTATGAGGAGAGGTTGACTAGGTTAGGATTGTTTTCACTGGAGTTTAGGCGAATGAAGGGGGATCTCAGAGAATTATAAAATTCTAACAGGACTAGACAGGGTGGATGCAGGGAGGATGTTCCCGATAGTGGGTGTGTCCAGAGCCAGCGGCCACAGTATGAGGGGTAGACCATTTACGATGGAGATGAGACGATATTTTTCCACCCGAAGATTGGTGAGCCTGTGGAGTTCATTACCACAGGAAGTAGTTGATGCCAAAACATTGAATGTACTCAAGAGGCAACTAGATTCACACTTGGAATAAATGGAATCAAACGTTATGAGTAGAAAGCAGGATTAGGCTGTTAAATTGGACGATGAGCCATGATCGTGATGAATGGTGGAGCAGGCTCGAAGGGCAGAATAGCCTCCTCCTGCTCCTATCTTCTATGCTTCTATGTTTCCCTGAGACACTTTGCCTTGGAATTTCAAGGCTCTTTTTTGCTAGTCAGAAAATCTGCCTCAAGATACTTGAAAAGGAGCTGGATGTCAGATACCAGGATACCACTTTGTTAATTGACGAATTGTTTTGTTTGCAATTGCTTCTTCGTGATTTTTCAATTCTTTTTTGACAGTGCCCATCCCTGGTGTGAGAAACCTAAATGTCTACGATGTTACCCCTACCACGATGAATGTCAGATGGGAGCCAGCTAGGGGTGCCTCAGGATATATGCTGCTCTACACACCAATTAATGCCAGTCAGCCAACTGCACAGAAAGAGGTATTGGAAAATACAATTTAATTTCCCTGGCTCCTTTAGTGTTACCTGTCAAATTCCATTCAGCTCGTTGTTTGGTCAATTATTTGCTCTAACCAGCTTCTGTGAGATCCAAGATTCTGTATTTTACTTGTGTATGGACTGAGTAGAGAGACAAAAAAGCAATTTATCATTTACTCTCAGGATTAATGTCATTGGCAAAGCCAGTACTTATTGTCCATCTCCCAGTTGTCCCTGAGGAGATGGTGGTTGCAGTAGAAATTCTTCCTCAACCGCAGGGACTTTGTCAGTTAAGTAGCCTGTTAGGCCACATCTGGGAGCTAAAAGCCAACCACATTTATGTGGGATTGGAGTCACAAATAAACTCGGCTTGGCTACTTCCCGGGAGACATTTGTTAAAAGAGTTGGATTTTGATGAATATTGAACTGTTTTAAATTAAACTCCAATTTGCCAACTACCACTCTGGGAGTTCAATAGTTTGTGAGGGTTTTGATGACGTACCATAACAATTAGGCCAATGTTGGTCTATCCACGCATAATATTTTTAGAAAACAACTGGTGCTATGTTGCACCATCCCTTCGGTAATTTATTTTATTCTCACAGTTTCAGGTACAAAATGGCCTGTCCCTGGTGCTGTGAGGTAGCAACTAACCACTGAGCCACCGTGCCACCCTGTGTATACCCTCAACATTACTTTATACAATCAATAATTGCCACTAGTTTCCTAAGGCAGATGATTGATTTATTGCATCTAGATTCCCATAAACTGCTGTGGTAGGATTTGAACCCACGACCTAAGGGTCTCTACATTGGCCTGGTGACATTACCACCATAACATCATCTCCCAAGTCTGCCTTGGCATTTAGGGAATTTAAATTCAGCTAACGAACAAAACAATTTTAAATAAAACTAGGATCAGTAACAGTGACATTACAATGAAATTATGGTTAGGTGAAGTGGATGGAAGATGGCACCTCCACACCATGAAATTAACGGATTGATACATTAAAATAAATCAGTTTCACAATTGTCCCTTTCGGGAAGAAAATCTGCTATCCTTACTCAGTCTGGTCTGCCCATGGGTTCACAGCCACAGCAATGAGTTGACCTTAGGTGTCCTTTGAAATGTCCAAGTGACCCATGACCATGACTCATCACCACCTTCTCAAGGAACAATGAAGGAGCGAAGAAAGTAAATAAAGTAAATAAGATCACAAGGAATTGGAGCAGGAGTAGATGATTTATCCCATGCAGCCTGCTCCATTAACCAGTAAGATCCACTTGCTCCATAATATCTGACACCGTAATGGATTTGAAAAAAGTCTGTTTAACTCAACTCTGAATATATTCAATGACCCCACCTCCACACTTCGGTATGAAAGAAAATTCCAAAAATTCATGGACCCTCTTTTCCATTTTAAAGAGAAGACTTATTTTTAAACAATACCCCTAGTTCTAGATTCCCCTATGAGAGGAAACATTTTCTCAACATCTATCCTGTCAAGCCCCTTAGAATCTTATATATTTCAATGAGATCACATCTCATTCTTCTCAACTCCAATGAGTACAGGCCCAGTCTGCTTAACCTATCCTTGTAAGAAGATCCCTTCATTGCAAGAACTTTTTCTGAACTGCTTTCAGTGCAATTGGTGGTGGATAAAGAGAATGAATAGGAGGAAGAATTGTGTACGTGTATACATAAGGTCAATGTGTTTGAAAGTGTTTTCAGCCAAAAATGCTCAATGACTATACTCAGCTTGGTCCTGAGGCCCTTGCCTTCTTCTATCCTCATGCCCTGTCTGTTTGGTTCATCTCTCATGACACTGAGGAAAAGGAACTCCCCTCCGTGCAAGACTTATGCATTAGATTAAGCTGTTCCATGTTCCAAGTTGTTCCAGGACAGCTATGAACACTGGCTGTAGTCAACATGTTTGTTGGATCCCCCAGGTATTTCTTATCCGTAAGACAAATTGACTAGTTTGGCTAGCCACCATCTTATTCAGCTTCATCCTAACCACAAATCAATTGTTGGAAGCAATTGACCACACCAGCATGAGGTAGCACAGGTTACAAATAGCCTGCCCACTCATTTTGAATCCTATCAAAAGTCACTTGGCTCTAAACCTTGACCCAGACATCACACAAGCTGAATGAAATGGGGAAGCCAAGAGTAGCTGCCCTCACCTTTAAGACAACATTCAACCAAGTGTGGAATCAGTGAATCTTTTTGCAATGTAGGGTAACTGTTGGTGGCAGGAAACCCTCTCATTGTGGGGAGACAGTGACATAATAGTAATGTGATTGGATTGGTCATTCAGTGCTGCACATTAATACTCCAGGGCCAAGGGTTCAAATTGCACCATAGCAACTTAAATTCACTTAATTAATAGATCTAAAATAAAAGCTAGTCTCAGTAATGGCAGCCAGGAAACTATGAGTGATTTTTGGAAAAAAAAAGTCTTGTTCACCCATACCCTTTGGGCAAGGAAGTCTGCAATCATTACCCATTCCAGTCTCCATGTGACTCCAGACCCATAGCAATGTGAGTCTCAATAAGTCGCTGAAATAGCTGAGCAAGTTCAAGGGCAGTCAGGTATGGGGAACAAATTGTGGCTTTGCCGGTGATTCCCACTTCCCATGAGGGAGTTAAGGGAAGAATAGTTCTAAGTTGATGAGATTGAGAGATGCCTATCATAGAGCCCCAGGGCATCATTGTTGGAGCCAAGTGCTTTTGGACCTTCCATCGTGATCTGCTTCACATAACTTTTCTCTGATTCTGCATTATTCAGCTCCATTTACAATGCTCTGTCCAGAATGAGACAGCCCATTCCATGCTAGACAGGATGTTGATGGCACCCCGGTTTGCTCTGTGCGAAAGAAGGAAACGTTTGTGCTACAGTTTCCAATAATGACCATCTCAAAGCAGAGAAAGTTGAGTCTTCTCCCCTATCAACAGTGTCTTAGGGGTGAATTGAGGGGGACTGGATCAACCATCATGGCTACATCCACGGCAGTGGCTGTGAGCTCCATTCATCTTCCACCTTATATGCTCACTCTTTGCCTGGATAAATACAATCAACAATCCCTAAAAAGCATTGCACTGTTTGCTCAAGGACAGTTAAGAATGGGCAATAATTGCTGGTATCGCGAATGATGCTAATGTCCCAGGAATGGATATAAAAAAGAATACAACAACTAATCACTCTTGCTACCACCACCACTAATCATTATTGCATTGCAGTTGCAGTATGGATGATCAGTAGGAGTCACTGCATTAACTCATCCACATTTGCTTACTATTGACCTTTCCCATGGAGAAGGACAAGAATTGCAATGTTGTTGTCACAGTGTCCCCTTGTGGGTCACAATCCATCCTGACTTGGGTGCATATCATTGCTACTCCATTGTCATTGGATCAATGTACTGGAGATTAATACCACAAGAGCTACAGCAGTTCAAGGACAAAGCCAATCAGTATCTGCTAGGGACGCCACTCTCAACAGAAAAACAGATTATTAACAGTATCCAGGCCTGACTGATATATCATTAACTTTCAGGCCTGCCTCCCGTGATCTTGATATCCAGCTCAGTGATATGATGCCTATATATATAGCTCTCTGACCTACCTACCTCCTGCAGCTTGGATGATTTTTCTCAAATCTATTTGAAAGTACGGCACACATTCTGCCCATAGATTAAGGTGTGGTGTCGTTGAGGATTCAATCATTTTCTTTGCCCTAACAATATAATGACTTAATGATAGTTTTGTTTGTAATGGTTAACTATTGTTGAAAAGGTTTGGACTTTGATTGTGAGGGGAAACTGATGGCAATGCCACTGGAGTATTAATCTAGAGATTAATGCAATTTTTCTGGGTCATGGGTTCAAATCCAATCATGGCAGATGATGAAATTTGAATAAAATAATCTAGAATTAAAAACTAGCCTCATGATGACCATATAACTAACCATTGTTGTAAAAATGTATCACTAATGCCTTTTAAGAAGTAAATCTGCCATCCTTACCTGATCTGATTGACACGTGACTCCAGACCTAAAACAAATTGGTCCACTCTTAACTCCTCTCTGAAATGGCCCAGGGAGTCAATCAGTTTGAGGGCAACTAGGGATGGACAGCAAATATTGGCAATACCCACATTCCATATGAGAATTTTTAAAAAATGCTGTTAAAGAACTGTTTTGCTTGATTAATGTTCTTTTTCAGAAAACAGTGAGCAACAAGCAATGTCATTGGCAGTGAAACATGATCCCAAACTACAGACCCACAGGATTTCATCCTGTGTTAAGAAACAGCCAAACAGTTTCCCTTGCCTTCTGCCTTATATCACATTCAGTTTTATTGCTCAGTCGCAATCTTTAGTCATAATCTCTCTCTCTTTTTAAGAGATTTTAACACTTGCAAATATTTCCCCGTTTAAGAACATAGCTTGTGAAAACAGAATTATATATATACCAAGTGGGCTCATTAAACTTTAGTCAAAACTTCTCTGAAACGTTTCCAGAGTGCCTAACACATCATTGTCTGACCCTGTGCAGAGCATAAGCAGCACTTCAGCTCCACTTTGGCTTTGGCATGATTCTCACTCGGGAAAGGCAGTGTTGTCAAAGGGATAGGGAGGCCAGCCACAGAGTTAATGTTGGTCAGCATAATTATGTGATTTATGTCTTGGACTCTTAAGAACTGCTGAGTAACAATTTATGGGAGGACTGCTTCAGTCCTGAATTGTCAGCATTGGCTCCATGTCAGATGAGATTGTGGTTTCAAGTCCCTGCCCCAGTGGTTTAAGCATATAATCTGAAATGAGGTGTTAAACTATGTCCCTACCAAAAGACTTTGTGCTATTTCAAAGAAAGCGTCGGGGAATTTTCCCCAGGTCCTGCCTAATATTTAAAAACAAAACAGAAAAAGCTGCGGATGCTGGAAATCTGAAACAAGAACAGAAATTGCTGGAAAAAGCTCAACAGGTCTGGCAGGTCTGTGGAGAGAAATCAGAGTTGACATTTTGGGCCCAGTGACCCTTCTTCAGAACTGATGGCAGCAAGGGAAAGGATGTTTTATATAGAGGATGAGGTGAAGGAGGGGGAGAGAAACAGTAAGTGGAGATAGAGTCCAGAGAGAGAAAAACAGTTGGACAGGCAAAGGAGAGGGTAAAGGTCAGTTTGGGGGAATGAATAGCTGCTAATGGGGACTATTGATGGCTGACAATGGGTAGCATGCCATGTGATGACAAGGCCTGATGTGTGATGAAAGGTACTTAAGTCCTAAAATTACTAAACTCAATATTAAGTCCAGAAGGTTGCAGGGGTTCCCATGCTCAAAATGAGGAGATGTTCTTCCAGCTTGTGCTGAGTTTTGCTGGAGCATTGCAGCATAAAGATATGTTATCTTTAATATAATAGAATTTAATGAGCTGCCTGGCTCCAAACTGGTTTCATCCTGTCAACAAGAGAAAACCCACCTTAGAGAGCTACTGATCAATCAGGGGCCTGTGTTTCTTAATCGCTTTGGGACAGAGACATGTGGCATTGGATTGGGATTTAGTAAGTATTGGGAGGTTCTGTCAGGAGCCCAGCTGGCAGGCCCAGGCAAGATAGCTGGCTGGGGTAGAGGGATATGGTTGTGACGCCTGTTGGGGTGTAGGAGTTGAGAGGTCAGTAGGGCGAAAGCCACCTGCTTAGGAGTTGGAATGCAGCAAAACCTCAGAGAAGACGTTTGGTGATTTTTGAGAGAACTCCTCTCCTCTAGCCCAGCACCAACCCATAATGGTGGGTTGATGACACCTTTCCTGTCACTGGTTAAATCCCAAGGGTGGTGGAATGAGTCTTTTTTGGGAACTACTTGCCTGCTGAAGGGCTACAATTGACCATTTCTGAAGGGGGCACTTGACAGCACACGGACTGCTGGTGTAAATGTGCTGTTTGGCCGGGCTAGGTAGGTATGAAACAGGCAGGCTGGATTTAACAAGTCCCCTTTGCCCCTCCTCCAAACCTGTTGAACTGGGTACTCAAAGTCTAGCCCATAATCGTGGGAATATGATGGAAGTAGGGAAAAATGGCAGCCAATTTCTACACAGCAAGTTCCAGAAGCAGATAATCTGTTCTTTAATGACATTGTTTGCAGGATTACTCACAGACATATTCAACTTCACGTAGTAAGTGTCACATAGAAGATGTCAGATAGAAAAATGATGTGTGAAATTGTCATCAATTTCATTGTAATTTAAAGTGAATTTGTAATAATGCTGCTCTTCATTCTTTATCCATATTATTTACAAATGATTGATATTTTCTCTTGCAGTTGAAAGTTGGCCCTGATAACACCGATGTGAGGCTGGAGAATTTATTTCCCAACACGGAATATACCATTACAATTCATGCCTTGTATGGTGATGTTCCCAGTGATCCATTGAGTGTGCAAGAAACTACCTGTAAGATATTTTAATTACATCGCCTCTAAAGCTTGCAGATTTTCACTCAGTTCTGCATCTACTTTTAAGCTTGGTTTTTGAAAAAAAGGCAGCTCAAGGGAAGGTGTGAAATTTAGGGAGTTGAATTTGTGGCATTTGAAATTTGAGGATCTCTCTTTTCAGTAAAGAAGTTGATCCATTTCATTGAGCAGAACATCATCTTTGTTAAGCAGTTTCACACTCCAGGTCATGCAGGTGGAAGCAGAAGGATAGACAGGGGCTAGGTAGAAGTGACCAGGCAAAATTATGGTGGAAGGAACTCAAGTTGAGGACCTTATACTCTTTAGATGAAAGGAAATCCATTTGGAATGGAACTGTAGAAGCACAGTGGTATTTGTTTCCTTATTGAAGTATCATGAAAGACAAGTGCACTGATACAAGAAACATGGAAACCAGGTATGAGAATAGGACCGAAGGGAATAGACAGAGGATATCACACAGTATGATAGAGAATTGGAAGAAATATTAAGAATAATGACCTTACTTTGATGTTTATCTGGGAGATAGAATAGATAGATATTTCATTGAATTATGTGCAATGCTGGTCACCATATTGTCAAAAGGAAGTAGAAGAATACAGAAGGATGTAAAACCCTCCTTGGAGATTTGGTGTAGACTTGATGGGCCAAATGGTCTTTTTCTGCAAGTGGGGTTTCTATGAGTCTATGATTAATTGGAGAGCCTTCAGAGGATATTTCTAAGGATGATGCTAGAGATGTTTGGGTATCTGTGTCAGAAAAGGATTGGCAACTTGGTCTCTTTTCTCTGGGGTTGAAAAAAGGTTGAAGGGTGACCAAACAGAGCTTTTTAAATTACAGCAGGTGTTGATAGTGAGGGTACAGAGGGAATGATTCCTCTTGTGGGAAGAGCTTAGTCAGAGGTCGTCAAGATAAGGTAGTCACTAAGATATTGGTAGGTGAATTCAGAAAAAAACTTACTTCCTAATGTGGATATTCTCAGCGCAGGCAGTGCTTAAAGTAAACAATATAGACTCGACAAGACTATGCGGGAGAAAGCAACAGAGGATAATGCTCATAGATTTAAATGGGAACGATGATGGAGGAGCCTCAAGGGAAGCATAACATGAGCATGGCCTGGTTGAGTCAGATAATCTAATTCTATGCTGTATGTCATGTATAATCTATGAAAAGTAATGAGAAGACAAATGTAGCATTGACCTTTATCACAAGGCTATAAGACACAGGAGCAGAAGTTAGGCCATTCAGCCCATCGAGTCTGCTCCACCATTCAATCATGGCTCATAAGCTTTTCAATTCCATTCTCCCTCTTTCTCCCCTTAACCCTTGATTCCCTTGACAATCGCATGGTGGCAATCACATGAGTTTAATGGTGTGTTCTGGTGCAAATCCCAGAATGGTTCGAATTAATGCTTGAAAACTTCATTTCCTTTGGAATTCCTTGTTTTCTTCATAGTAAATTTTTGATGTCTCTGTGATAAATTAAAAACAAATTCTAGTTCTTTGAGAGGCATTTTAGTCTGTGAAAGATTATTGTGGAGGTTAGATTAACACCAGTAGGAAAAATTAGATGTGCTCAGAGGAACTTAAACTTGTTCTTAATGGAGCCACTTTTTTTTAATATTTGTTAACAAGATGATGGTTTCACATTGCTGGGTTTGGAATCACATGTAGGACAGACCAGGTAAGGATGTCAGCTTCCTTCCCTAAAGGACATTAGTGAACCAGGTGGGTTTTTCCCCAATAATCAACAATGGATTCATCATTAGATTCTTAATTCCAGATATTTCTATGGGATTCAAATTCCACCTTCTGCCATGGTGGGATTTGAACCCAGGTTCCCAGAATGTTATCTGGGTCTCTGGATTGGCAGTCCAGCGATAATGCTATAAGGCCATTCCCCCAACATTCCCCATTGCCTCCCACATAATGTAGCCACAGTGAGTCATGTCAAAACTCAGTATCTGATTTTATTTTGACTTGCTTCATGGTATTTTGTCACCTGTTTTTCTCTGCTGAGCTCTGTTTCATTTCTGTCTCCACAGTGCCACTGGCTGGACCCCGCAATATCTGGTTTTCCGATGCCACGCACAGTAAGATGCGGGTCCATTGGGATCATGCACTAGGCAGCGTGCTTAAATATATGGTTAGATACAACGAAGTGGGCGACGAGAATGTCAAAGAGGTGAAGTGACATGTTCGCTTGCAGAGTTACATGAATTTTAAAAAAAAATTCTTTCTACATTTGTTGCCCAATTCTTTCTACATTTGTTGCCCACTTTATTTTAAAGAAAAAAATTGAAAGAATCTTAAATAAGGGGGTGAAGGGTTGTTGGGGTAGGTGGAAATACTCAGATCAGTGGTGAAGTAGGTGTAGCAGGTTAGATGTAGCCAGTAATAAAAAATAAATCAAAGAACTGCTTGGATGCTGCAGATCAGAAACAAGCATAAGCCAGAAATTGCTGGAGAAATGCAACAAGTTTAGCAACATCTGTGAAGAGACATTGATTGATTGATTGATTGATTTATTGTCATGACTACCAAAGTACAGTGAAAAGCTTTGTTTACAAGCAGTACAGGCAGATCACAGTAAGCAAGATTGTACAGATCGAAAAGACTGAGAGGCATACAGATTACATTGCACAGGGAGTGCGCTAGGCAAGATCGATGTCAACAAGATCAGCAATATTTGAGGCTAGAGAGTCCATTCATCAAACTAGTAATAGCCAGGAAGAAGCTGTTCTGGAATTTGCTGGTTCGTGTGTTCAGGCATCTGTACCTTCTGCCTGACGGAAGAGGTTGTCGGAGATCATTGCCAGGGAGCAATGGGTCTTTGATGATGTTGGCAGCCTTTCCATGGCAGCGAGCCAAGAACAAGGAACAAAGAAAATTACAGCACAGGAACAGGCCATTCGACCCTCCAAGCCTGTGCTGATCCAGATCCTCTATCGAAACCTGTCGCCTATTTTCTAAGGATCTGTATCCCTCTGCTCCCTGCCCATCTCGTGTATCTGTCGAGATACATCTTAAATGACGCTATCGTGCCTGCCTCTACCGCCTCCACTGGCAACGTGTTCCAGGCACCCACCACCTGTGTAAAGAACTTTCCACGCATATCTCCCTTAAACTTTACCCCTCTCACCTTGAAATCGTGACCCCTAGTAATGGAGTCCCCAACTTTGGGAAAAAGCTTCTTGCTATCCACCCTGTCTATACCTCTCATGATTTTGTAGATCTCAATCAGGTCCCCCCTCAACCTCCGTCTTTCTAATGTAAATAATCCTAATCTACTCAACCTCTCTTCCTAGCTAGCGCCCTCCATACCAGGCAACATCCTGGTGAACCTCCTCTGCACCCTCTCCAAAGCATCCACATCCTTTTGGTAATGTGGCGACCAGAACTGTACGCAGTATTCCAAATATGGTTGAACCAAAATCCTATACAACTGTAACGTGACCTGCCAACTCTTGTACTCAATACCCCGTCCGATGAATGAAAGCATGCCGTATGCCTTCTTGACCACTCTATCGACCTGCGTTGCCACCTTCGGGGTATAATGGACCTGAACACCCAGATCTCTCCGTGCATCAATTTTCCCCAGGGCTTTTCCATTTACCGTATAGTTCACCCTTGAATTGGATCTTCCAAAATGCATCACCTCGCATTTGCCTGGATTGAACTCCATCTGCCATTTCTCCACCCAACTCTCCAATCAATCTATATTCTGCTGCATTCTCCGACAGTCCCCTTCACTATCTGCTACTCCACCAATATTAGTGTCATCTGCAAACTTGCTAATCAGACCATCTATACCTTCCTCCAGATCATTTATGTATACCACAAACAACAGTGGTCCCAACACGGATCCCTGTGGAACACCACTGTTCACTGTTCTCCATTTTGAGAAACTCCCTTCCACTACAACTCTCTGTCTCCTGTTGCCCAGCCAGTTCTCTATCCATCTAGCTAGTACACCCTGAACCCCATGCGACTTCACTTTCTCCATCAGCCTACCATGGGGAACCTTATTAAACGCCTTACTGAAGTCCATGTATATGACATCTACAGCCCTTCCCTCATCTATCAACTTTGTCACTTCCTCAAAGAATTCTATCAAGTTGGTAAGACATGACCTTCCCTGCACAAAACCATGCTGCCTATCACTAATAAGCCCATTTTCTTCCAAATGTAAATAGATCCTATCCCTCAGTATCTTCTCCAGCAGCTTCCCCACCACTGACGTCAGGCTCACCGGTCTATAATTACCTGGATTATCCTTGCTACCCTTCTTAAACAAGGGGACAACATTAGCAATTCTCCAGTCCTCCGGGACATCACCCATGCTCAAGGATGCTGCAAAGATATCTGTTAAGGCCCCAGCTATTTCCTCTCTCGCTTCCCTCAGTAACCTGGGATAGATCCCATCTGGACCTGGGGACTTGTCCACTCTAATGCCTTTTAGAATACCCAACACTTACCCCCTCCTTATGCTGACTTGACCTGGAGTAATCAAACATCTATCCCTAACCTCAACATCCGTCATGTCCCGCTCCTCAGTGAATACTGACGCAAAGTACTCATTAAGAATCTCACTCATTTTCTCTGACTCCTTGCATAACTTCCCTCCTTTGTCCTTGAGTGGGCCAACCCTTTCTCTAGTTACCCTCTTGCTCCTTATGTATGAATAAAAGGCTTTGGGATTTTCCTTAACCCTGTTTGCTAAAGATATTTCATGACCCATTTTAGCCCTCTTAATTCCTCATTTCAGATTGGCTCTACTTTCCCGATATTCTTCCAAAGCTTCGTATGTTTTCAGTCGCCTAGACCTTATGTATGCTTCCTTTTTCCTCTTTGCTAGTCTCACAATTTCACCTGTCATCCATGGTTCCCTAATCTTGCCTTTTCTATCCCTCATTTTCACAGGGACATGTCTGTCCTTCACTCTAATCAACCTCTCTTTAAAAGCCTCCCACATATCAAGTGTGGATTTGCCCTCAAACAGCTGCTTCCAATCCACATTCCCCAGCTCCTGCTGAATTTTGCTATAGTTGGCCTTCCCCCAATTTAACACTCTTCCTTTAGGACCACTCTCGCCTTTGTCCATGAGTATTCTAAAACTTACGGAATTGTGATCACTATTCCCAAAGTAATCCCCTACTGAAACTTCAACCCCCTGGCCGGGATCATTCCTCAACACCAGGTCCAGTATGGCCCCTTCCCGAGTTGGACTATTTACATACTGCTTTAGAAAACCCTCCTGGATGCTCCTTACAAATTCTGCTCCATCTAAACCTCTAACACTAAGTCAATCCCAGTCAATGTTGGGAAAATTAAAATCTCCCATCACCACTACCCTATTGCTCCTACATCTTTCCATAATCTGTCTACATATTTGTACCTCTATCTCACACTCGCTGTTGGGAGGCCTGTAGTACAGCCCCAACATTGTTACCGCACCCTTCCTATTTCTGAGCACTGCCCATATTGCCTCACTGCTCGAGTCCTCCATAGTGCCCTCCTTCAGCACAGCTGTGATATCCTGTTTGACCAGTAATGCAACTCCTCCACCCCTTTTACCTCCCTCTCTATCCCACCTGAAACATCTATATCCTGGGACATTTAGTTGCCAATCTTGCCCTTCCCTCAACCAAGTCTCAGAAATAGCAATAACATCATACTCCCAGGTACTAATCCAAGCCCTAAGTTCATCTGCTTTATCTGCTACACTTCTCGCATTAAAACAAATGCACCTCAGACCACCTGTCCCTTTGCGTTCATGATCTGTTCTCTGCCTACTCTTTCCCTTAGTCACACTGACTTCATTATCTAGTTCCTTACAGGCTTTAGTTACTACCTCCTTACTGCCCACTAACCTCCTCATTTGGTTCCCATCCCCCACTACATTCGTTTAAACCCTCCCCAACAGCGTTAGCAAAAGCACCCCCTAGAACATTGGTTCCAGTCCTACCCAGGTGTAGACCGTCCGATTTGTAATAGTCCCACCTCCCCCAGAACCAGCCCCAATGTCCAAAAAATCTGAACCCCTCCCTCCTGCACCATCTCTCAAGCCACTCATTTATCCTGCCTATTCTTTCATTTCTACACTGACTAGCACGTGGCACTGGTAGAAATCCTGAGGTTACTACCTCTGAGGTCCTACTTTTTAACTTGGCTCCTAACTCCCTAAATTCTGCTTGTAGGACCTCATCCTGTTTTTTACCTATATCATTGGTGCCTATATGCACCACGACAGCTGGCTGTTCACCCTCCCCCTTCAGAATGTCCTGCAGTCGATCTGAGACATCCCTGACCTGGGAGGCAACATACCATTCAGGAGTCTTGTTTTTGAACACAGAACTGCCTATCTACTCCCCTTACAATCGAGCCTTGTAAATGGAGCCCATGGATGGAAGATTGGCTTCCGTGAAGGTCTGGGCTGTGCACACAACCTTCTATCGTTTTTTATTGTCCTGGGCAGAGCAGTTGTCACACCAGGCCGTTATAGACCTGGACAGTATGCTTGCAATGGTGAATCTGTCAAAGTTGGTGAGGGGCCTTATGGACATTCCAAATTTCCTGAGCCACTTGTGGATGAAGAGGCATTGTTGTGCCGTCTTGACAGTCAATTAACTCAGTTGGTTGAGTGGTTTGTGATGCAGACTGATGCCAACACTGTGGTTTCATTTCTTGTACTGACTGAGGTTGCAATGAAGGTCCCTGCTTCTCAAACTCTCCCTTCGCCTGAGATGTGTGAAGAGTTAATGTTTCGAGTCCAGTGACCCTTGTTGTGACCTGCTGAGTTTCTCCAGCAATTTCTGTGTTTGTTAAAAAGTAAGAGGCATTATTGCAATTGTGCAGGACATTGATAAGGTTGCACCTAATGTACTGAATATGGCTTTGGTCTCCAGATTTAAGGAAGGAAATCCTTGCATTAAAAGCAATTCAGAGAAGGGTCTCATGGCTTATTCTTGAGGTAAAGGATTTCTTTTAAGTGGAAAGGTTGAGCAGACTGGACTTGTCGTCATTGGAATTTGCAAGAATGAGAGATGATCCTATTTTTACATAAAAGTTTCTGAAGTGCCTTGACAGGGTAGATGCTGAGACAATATTTTTGCTTGTGGGGGAACCAAGAACTAGGACAGATGGGTCTTCCATTAAAGATGCATATGTCATTAGAGAAGGTCATTAATCCTTGGAATTGTATATCTCAAAGAGGAATGAAGGTTGGGTCATTGAATGTAATCAGAGCCGAACTCTATTTTTGATCTTCAAAGGGAGTCGAAGGTTATGGGCTGGAAGATTGAGTTCAGCCAGAATCTCAATGAATGATGGGCAGGCTCAATGGCCACTGCTGTTCCTATTTTTGATGACCTTTTGTTCTTACAACAATCTAACATTTTCATTGTCACTCTTATTAATACAACATATATGTTTCTAGATTTGTAATGAGAATTCAAATTGTCAAACTTTCCATGGGGAGATTTGAACTCCCATGCTCTGAATTATTCATCCAGGCTTCTGGACAATTTGAATTTGTGTCAAAAAGTATCTCTAAATAAAGATGAGTTATGCTAATGTCCAACCAATGGTTTCCAAAGGAAGTCCATCAAGATGTTCTCACGGGGCAACAGGGGATGGACTAAATACCCATCTTGCCAGTGATGACTGCATTCTGAGATCAAGTAATAAAAATGGCCAACATATTTGCCTCCCCTGAGAGGATGGTGTTGGAGTGCCTTCATAAGTTGCTAGTTAGGCAGCCAATTAGCTCAGTTGGCTGGATGGTTTGTGATGACGAGTGGCAACATCGTTTGGGTTCAATTCCTGTACTGACTGAGGTTATAGTGAAGGTCCCTCCTTCTCAACCTCTCCCCCCGCCTGAGGTGTGGTGACCCTCAGGATAAACCACTACTAGTTGTCTCTCTCTAATGAGTGAGTGGGACTGTAATGACTTTACTTTTAATTTGCCAGTCTCAGTCTGATACAGCTGAGGGTGTTGCTAGGCTAGGTCAGAGGTGACACAAAACACAAGCTGTAAAAGCAAGACTCAGAATTAAAGGGAGCCATGATTAGGATGGGTGAGGGGGGGCGAGGGGGGTGGAGGGGGAATAACAGGTGGTTTAAAATATAACACTGGCACGACAAAGTGAACTTAGTCTTGAGTCAAACCAAGGAAAAGCATATCTATTAAACCAGATCGTACAGTATTTGAAACTTGTCATTAAGTAACTCAGACATGAAAAGAAGCTTCTTAGAACTTTCTCACACAATTCTCGGGTGAGTTTGATGGAGAAAGAGAAATAAGCTCCCCCTGTGATCTCCAGCATTTGTTATTTTCAGTACAGATTCCAGCATCCGTAGTTATTTGCTCCCAATAGACTTCTTCCGTTGTTCGTTTTTGATCTTTACATTGTATTTTGCTACAAATTTACTGTCTTACCCAAACATGTGTAACCGTTATCTTTTCTTTCACCCGATAGGTGGAAATCCCCGGCAATGAGAACTCAGTGCCACTATCAGGCCTTGTGTCACAGACAGAGTATAAGGTTGCAGTTACTGCAATACATGAACAAGGCCCCTCAGCTCCCCTGATTGGGAGAGAAAACACACGTAAGTGAGATGCTTCAGTCCAAGTATTGAGGGCTTCCATTGAGCCTATAACAAATCTCATAACTTCAGTCACACTGAGAAATAAGAAAAGTTTTGATTGTTCATCTTCGAGCAGGGAAGTTTAGGAGGAGATCGAATGGGGATGCTCAAAATCATGAAGCACTTTAATGTAATAAAGGAGGAGAGATGGTTTCCACTGGCTGGGTCATCAGTAAGCAATGGACAACAGATTTTAGATGGTTAGCAATAAAAGTAGAAAAGAGAAGGATTTTTTTTTAACCCAGTGTGTTGTTATGATCTGGAACGTGCTGCCTGAATAGTTGGTCGAAGCAAGTTTAATGGTAGCTTTCAAATGGGAATTAGATAAATACTTAGAACCTTAACATTGGTACAGCACAGAAAGATACCATTTGGCTCATCATATCTGTGGGTTGTTCTTTATCTGAGTAACTCAGCTAATCCCATTCTCTAGACCTTTCTCTGTGCCCCTTCTCATATTTTCTATTCGAATAAATATCCAATTTCCATTTTTCCCTGGGCATCCCTGTCAATAAGTCACTGAAAACTAACTACAACCACAGTGGCCACCCCACAAATCCCCCATGATAAAGCAATTATCCAGTGCCCCAGAAAACGTTTTATTTTCCCCAAACATATGTCTCCCCTAAAAGTGACCAAGACCCTTTGGATGCTTAATTCCTTGGAAGTAGTTAGTCTCACTGGGTGAAATTTGGTGCTCTTCACCATGACAGGTTGGGTGAGGGGGTGATATTTAATCAGCTGGCTGGGGGGTCTGCTGCAAAGGCCCCCTGGATGGCTACCCACCCAATACCAACTGAGAATTTCAACTCGGTATTTAATATCTGCTACAGGGCCTCACCATGCTCCTGGCAGGTTCAAACCCAAAGATGTTAGAGATTTCCCACACTGGAAACTCCTTGAATAAACATAGAGTCATAGGAATGTACAGCATGGAAACAGACCCTTCGGTCCAACTCGTTCACGCTGACCAGGTATCCTAAATTAATCTTGTCCCATTTGCCAGCATTTGGCCTATATTCCTCTAAACTCTTCCTATTCACATACCCTTCCAGATGCCTTTTAAATGTTGTACTTGTACCAGCCTCCACCACTTCCTCTGGCAGCTCATTCCATACATGGACGATCCTGTGTGTGAAAATGTTGTTCCTCAGGTGACTTTTAAATCTTTACATTGTGAAGTTGCTTGTAGGCTCCCCTTGTGGGAAGCAGAGGGTGTGTGGTTGTGGTGGATGACAGTAGTTAGGGAGGGTGAGGCAGTTCTCTTGCTCAAAGTCACTTTAGATTGGAAGTGCCTAATTGAAGGAACTGATATCAGAAAGTAGGAAGCCCCCTGCTGCCAGCCCACTCACCACCCATGACCTCCAGCCATGAACATCCTCTAGATCCCACTTCTTCACTCAGCTATAGCCCATGTCACAGTGATGGCAGTAATACTCTCAACAACCAGTGCCATTGCTGCAGTTCAATAGGTCTGATCGGCCAGCATTCCCCAAGGTTATTGATCCAGTTTAATGCCCGAATGGTGGTGGGAATACCCTAACAGAGGTGACAAGGAGGCTCTCACTGTCTCTGCAGCCTGGGAACAAGACCCCCTCACACCTACTTTCAATAGCATCGGCTTGTTCAGCAGGTAAAATGCTGAGTAGGAAGTTCTCATCTGCATCCGTTGCATACTTGATCAAGGAATGGTTAAGAACTAACTGAAGTTCCTCCAGTGTCTGAATGTTCCATTTACCTAATGCAAGCAACCATTATGTTGAAGTGGGCATAATTCAGCAGAAACTGGAAACAATGTTATTTTCCTTCTCATCAGATTCCTCAGATTTCCCAACAGTGAGACGAAATCGTATTCATTCATGAGATGTGTGATACTACCAATGCCAGTATTTGTTGCTTATCTCTTATTGCCTTGGAGATGACAACTGTGAGCCACCTTCTTGAACTGCTGCAGTCCTCAGAGTACTTAGGCACAGTGCTATTACGAGGGAATGACAGTGAAGGAGCAGCAATGTAGTTCTAAGCAGTTTATATCACCAATGTAGTTCTAAGTCAGGATGGTGTGTGTCTTGGAGGAGTGGTGTACGCGTGTATCTGCTGCCCTTGTCCTTGTCATGGGTTTGGGAAGTACTGTCAGAGGAATCCTAGTGAGTTGCTGCAGTAAATCTTGTAGAAGGTACACACAGCTGTTACTGTGCATGGGTGTCGAAGGGAGTGAGTCTTAGTAGTTGAGGTGCTGATCAAGTCGACGGCTTTTTCCTGGATTGTGTAAACATTCTTCAGTGTTGGAGCTGCACTCATCCTGGCAAGTTGAGAGTATTCCACAATATTCTGAGCAATGCTTTCCAGACTGGAAGTATGATGAATGCGACATTCCTGTGTCTATCCCTGTAGTGCTCTGAAATTAATAAAGGTGTCAATTTACCACTTTGGCACTGGTCCACATGTGTGGTGATATAAACTTCAATACTGTTAGAGATCACAGGGTAAGATAAAAACTAGAACCTATCGCCAAATGACTTGCAAGGCACTGAAAAAATGCCAAGCAAGAGATGAAACACAGAACTTAATTGGATATGATATATTAAAATTGAGCAAAAACTCTGTATTGAAGACTTTACTGTGCTGGGAGAGAGCTATTCCTGATTATTGAATACAACAAAATCCAAATCATCCTGGTCAAATGTTTGTGTGTTTTGGAAATAGTGACCTGAGGAGATCTTCTTACTGTATCAGCTCATTGCAATGTAGATTTGCTTACTGTGATTTTGCATATGTCGTTTGTCCTAAACCTTGCTAATGTCTTCTCTGATGGGACACTTCTTAGCATTTGTCTCTTTTATGAAGCTTCTCAGCTCTTGAGGAAAAATCCCATTCTTTGGCTAGTTGTCAATTCATTTTTTTTTTAAACTGGCTGTGCTGCTATGAACCATCTTTACTACATTAAAGGAACTAAATAAATGCAAGTCTTGGTGTTGGAACATCAGATAACAATGACACTATCTCAAACGTTTTCCTCTATCCTTCCTTTCCTGACTATTTCTACTGAGCCATGATCACTGCATAGGTCATGTACATTAAAGGTCCCACAGCTTCTGTTTTCTTTCACTTATAGTGGTTGTCCCAGCTCCAACAAACCTACGCTTCACGGACATAGGGCAGAAGCGTTTCCGTGTCCACTGGGATCATGGAGCAAGGGATGTTGCCCTTTACAGACTCATATGGGTTCCATCTGGAGGAGGGGAAAGAAAAGAGGTGAGGAGACTAGTGCTTTCTGCTTCAGTTATCATTTTGATTTCCTCTTTAATATGTACATATGCAGCAAATTTTGGAACCAGAGGGATCTGTACCGATGGGATGGTCTCCAATTGAACCGATCTGGAACCAGTGTTCGAGCGAAAAGGATAAATAGGGTGGTCACTAGGACTTTAAACTAGTGAGTTGGGGGGAAGGGAAAGGGAAAACGACAGGGAGTATGATGGTAAATAAAAAGGTAAACAGCAGGTTAGCATGTGTGCAGGAGGGTTTAAGTTCAAGGCAGACTATGAAAGAAGCAAAAAGGAAGGATAACTCAGGACATATTATTAGAGATGTTGGAAATCATGAGGGTAAGAAAGCTAGCATAAAGGCACTTTACCTGAATGCTCGTAGCATTCGTAACAAGGTTGATGAGTTAACAGCAGAAATCATCGCGAATGAATATGATTTGGTAGCCATTACGGAGACATGGTTACAGGATGGTCATGACTGGGAGTTAAATATCCAAGGGTACCAGACTATTCGGAAGGACAGACAGGAAGGTAAGGGGGGTGGTGTAGCTCTGATATTCAAGGACGACATCAGGGCAGTGCTGAGAGATGATATAGGTTCTGTGGAGAATGAGGTTGAATCCATTTGGGTGGAAATTAGAAATTCTAAGAGGAAAAAGTCACTGATAGGCGTAGTCTATAGGCCACCAAATAATAACATCACATTGGGGCAGGCAATAAACAAAGAAATAACTAATGCCTGTAAAAATGGTACGGCAATTATCATGGGAGATTTTAATCTACATGTAGATTGGTCGAACCAGCTCGGTCAGGGTAGCCTTGAGGAGGAGTTCATTGAGTGTATCCGTGATAGTTTTCTTGAACAGTATGTAATGGAACCGACAAGGGAGCAAGCTATCCTAGACCTGGTCCTGTGTAATGGGACAGGAATAATTAATGACCTCATAGTTAGGGATCCTCTTGGAAGGAGTGATCACAGTATGGTTGAATTTAGATTACAGATGGAGAGTGTGAAGATAAAATCCAATACCAGGGTCCTGTGCTTGAACAAGGGGAACTACAATAGAATGAGGGAGGACTTGGCTAAAGTAGACTGGAAAGAAAGATTTTATGGTGGGACAGTTGACGAGCAGTGGAGGACTTTCAAAGTAATTTTTCAAAGTGCTCAGCAAAAGTATATTCCAGTGAAAAGGAAGGACTGTAAGAAAAGGGGTAATCTGCCATGAGTGTCTAAAGAAATAAGGGAGGCTATCAAATTGAAAGAGAAGGCATACAAAGTGGCCAAAAACAGCATGAAACTAAAAGATCGGGAAAACTTTGAAGGTCAACAGAAAGCCACAAAAAGAGCTATAAAGAAAAGTAAGATAGAACATGAGAAAAAACTAGCACAGAATATAAAGACAGATAGGAAAAGTTTCTATAAATATATAAAACGAAATAGAGTGGCTAAAGTAAACGTTGGCCCTTTAGAGGATGAGAAGGGGAATTTAGTTATGGGATATGATGAAATGGCCGAGGCATTGAACAGGTATTTTGTATCGGTCTTCCCAGTGGAGGACACTAATAACATGCCAGTAATTGACAAAGAGACGAAGGTAGATGAGGACCTGGAAACAATCATTATTACGGAAGAGGTAGTGTTGGGCAAGCTAATGGAGCTAAGGATTGATAAGTCTCCTGGCCCTGATGGAATGCATCCCAGGGTACTAAAAGAGATGGCGGGAGAAATAGCAGGTGCACAGGCGGTAATTTTCCAAAATTCGCTGGACTCTGGGGCAGTCCCAGCAGATTGGAAAACAGCAAATGTGATGCCACTGTTTAAAAAGGGAAGTAGACAAAAGATGGGGAATTATAGACCAGTTAGCTTAACCTCTGTAGTGGGGAAGATGCTTGAGTCTATTATCAAGGAAGAAATAGCAAGGCATCTTGATAGAAATTGTCCCGTTGGGCAGACGCAGCATGGGTTCATGAAGGGCAGGTCATGCTTGACAAATCTTTTGGAATTCTATGAAGACATTACGAGCAAGGTGGATGATGGGGACCCAGTGGATGTGGTGTACCTAGACTTCCAAAAGGCCTTTGACAAGGTGCCGCACAAGAGGCTACTGCATAAGATAAGGATGCATGGCGTTAAGGGTAAAGTATTAGCATGGATAGAGAATTGGTTGACTAACAGGAAGCAAAGAGTGCGGATAAATGAGTGCTATTTTAGCTGGCAGTCAGTGACTAGTGTTGTGCCTCAGGGATTGGTGTTGGGACCGCAATTATTTACAATTTATATAGATGATTTGGAGTTGGGGACCACATGTAGGGTGTCAAAGTTTGCAGATGACACTAAGATGAGTGGCAGAGCAAAGTATGCAGAGGAACATAGATACATTGAGTGAGTGGGCAAAGGTCTGGCAGATGGAATACAATGTAAATAAATGTGAAGTCATACATTTTGGTAGGAGTAATAGTAAAAAGGATTATTACTTGAATGGTAAAAAGTTGCAGCATGCTGCTATGCAGAGGGACCTGGGTGTCCTTGTGCATGAATCACAGAAGGTAGGTCTGCAGGTACAACAAGTAATTAGGAAGGCAAATGGAATTTTGTCCTTCATTGCTAAAGGGATTGAGATTAAAAGCAGAGAGGTTATGTTGCAGCTGTACAAGGTGCTGGTGAGGCCACACCTGGAGTACTGTGTGCAGTTTTGGTCTCCTTACTTGAGAAAGGATGTACTGGCACTGGAGGGCGTACAAAGGAGGTTCACTAGGTTGATTCCGGAGTTGAGGGGGTTGGCTTATGAGGCGAGACTGAGTAGATTGGGATTATATTCATTGGAATTCAGAAGATTGAGGGGGGATCTTATAGAAACTTATGAAGGGAATAGATAAGATAGAAGTAGAGAGGATGTTTCCACTGGCAGGTGAAGCTAGGACAAGAGGGCATAGCCTCAAGATTAGAGGGAGCAGATTTAGGACTGAATTGAGAAGGAACTTCTTCACCCAGAGAGTTGTTAATCTATGGAATTCCTTGCCCAGTGAAGTAGTTGACGCTACTTCAGTAAACGTTTTTAAAGATAATGTAGATTTTTTTTGAACAATAAAAGAATTAAGGGATATGGTGAGAATGCGGGTAAGTGGATCTGAGTCCACGAAAAGATCAGCTATGATCTTATTGAATAGCGGAGCAGGCTCGAAGGGCCGGACGGCCTACTCCTGCTCCTAGTTCTTATGTTCTTAAATTGCAGGTGGGCATATCTGTAGATGTGTGGAAATGTTCCTGCTGCACAGCATTGATGTTCCTCTGCTTATTGTCATCCACAGAGGATGAATTTCATAACCTGCTCAATTATAGTTCAGTGAATCCATTTCCACTGTTTCCTGTATATCGTGACGGCGAGTGCCAAGGGGCTGTTTAACTGTGATGGGACTCACAATTACATTTGCTCCTATCTTCAACCTCAAAACCCATGTGTGTGAACAGCATTCAGATAGGATGGGGATGGGAAAGGATGTAATAAACCCCTACCCCTAGCTGTACCAAGTTAGAAGTCACACGACACCAGGTTATAGTCCAACAGATTTCTTTGGAATCACAAGCTTTTGGAGCGCAGCCCCTTCATCAGGTGAAGTCAGAAGAGCTGTGCTCCAAAAGCTTGTAATTTCAAATAAACCTATTGGACTACAACCTGGTGTCGCATGATTTCTGACTTTGTGCACCCAGTCCGACACTGGCACCTCCACATCCTAGCTGTGCCAGGAAGGGACGAGTTTGGTCCTTTCGTACATGCTGAATTTTCGGCTCTCTGGATGAACTGGCTGATGTGTGGGGAGAATTATCTTCATTCAAGGACTTCTGCAGAACTCCTCCAGAATGAAACTGAAAAAAACCCTTTAATTTCAAGTTATTGGTCTTGCCCCTAGACTTAAAAAGAAACACACATTCAGAAATTTCTAACAGAGACCATGATGCACCGTTGTTCATCTTACTTAGTTGCAAACTCTTCAAATGTACACAAAAGCTCATTATTTCTAAAAGGTACTTCACAATCACTTTGTTTTCAAAGAAAACATCATGGCAACAAAAATACTTCAGATACACTGAAAAACCCATATCTCACTAATTTAAAAATCAAACTTAAAAATAAGTGATATTAAAATCGATATACATCACACCCTCCATCACAATGGGAAGAGTTCTTTCAATCACTTGTAGCAAAAACCATAAACATATTTTTTATCTGTGCATTCATATTATTGCTACAGAAACTGATCTTGAACATTGTGCATCTAATATTGAGATGTTGGGCTTAGTTGGATCAACTACATAAGAGGATTTATTCACTCATTCCAAATTGTTCCTTTCAATTAGCTTTTCTGCAGAGATATCCCAGATGACACTTGGGACAGTTGCTGCAGTCAGAAGTTATTAAATTCAGGTCATGATTGCTTTGGTTCCCTGGATGGAATCAAGTTCAAACTTCCCATTTTATTAGAAAAATGAGTTTTCAGAAAGAAAATTGGTTCCTGGCTCAGACACCCTATTGACTTAAGTGCTGATGCTTGTTCTGTCTAGATTATTATAAATGGCAAGGAGGACAACCAAGTTTTAGACAACCTGAATCCTGACACCTCATATGATGTCTCCCTTTCTGCCATCTACCCAGATGAGATGGAAAGTGAAGATCTCTTTGGTTCCCAACGTACACGTAAGTCTTTAGCACAAAAACATCTCCATCAGTCTTTTCCCTTTCCCCCTATCCCTGCTTCTGCAGTTGTGGCTTGGAAACAAGCACTTGATGGTCGTGGTCAGGGACCCAACCCTCAGTAATCTATTCCTCCTATAAGTATAACCCATCTCTGAATACAAGGAACCAATACCCCCCACCATCAAACTTATTATCTCTTCCTTGCGGAGAAAATATTGGATTCAGTTGTATTGTCTCTCTACCTTGGGATAATGCGACAATCAATTGATATTTTCCTAATGCATTTAATTTAAACTGTGCCAGGTTAACTTTACTGGTTGACATCAGATCGCTGACCATTGAGTGAAACACTCTTGATGTTTGTTTTTGTGGAACTTTAAACAATATCATACCGTGTATTTTAATACAAGCAAGTGAGGTGACTGGAAAGGCAATCGGTTTTAATAATTTGAAGAAATTGAACCTTACTGTCTCACACTCTTCATGGTCTAGTGATGCACACTAAACAAAAAAAAACAAAGAACTTCAGATGCTGGGAATCTGAAACACAAATAGACATTTCTGGAAAAAAAAGTCTCAGCAGGTCTGGCAACATCTGTGGAGGGAAAGCAGAGTTAATGTTTCAGATCCAGTGACCCTTCTTCAGAACTTCATTCACTTTGCCTATAAACTTGAGAATTTGGCTAATTCTGAATGTCAACCAGATTTTTTGCTGTAATTTAAAGAAAACACCTGATATTAACAGATGTCATCTTTTAATTTTTTAGTGCCCAAGATGATTCCAACTACACCATGTAAGTGTTCAGTTTCTGTTATTCTCAGTGGTAAATCCCTGCTTGCAGAAAATGTGAGTCAGAGTATCAGACTACAGTGTTTATCCCTGGGTCTGTAAGGAGCTTCCTTGCGGGAGCACTCCTGCCTCTGAGTTTAAATGAATCCAGTTCCAGACATTCCAAATGCCTGTACCCTGAAATTATTACTCGGAATTCCAAATGATCTTTTACCTCCATCAGCTGAATGAGTGCACTGCCTCCTCCTCTAGGTTCTGGTAGGACTAAGCTCCCCAGGCTGGGAGAAAGATCTTCAGAGCCACAGAGGAACCAATGACATTTCAACCTCTCAGATTGTTACTCAGCCTGTGTCTCCTTCTGATGCTTTATACAGTCCTCCAAGGGACCAGTGAGAAGATACCAAAACAATTGCAATTTCTCTCTTTGATCCTTGCCTGCTATGGGCTCAGATCCCTCCTGGGGCTCACGATAACCTCAATATCATGAGTAAAAATACTGAGCAAGAATTATTGTGAATGATCGTACAAATGGAACACTGCCTTTATGCAAAAAAATATTGTTAGCAATATGTTTTTTCTTTGTTCATAAATGTATGATCCATGATGTAACTGTCATCTGGATTAAATAAAATTGTAGGTCTTGCAGTACAGGAGGAGACCATTCATCTCATCATTGCCTGTGTCAGCTCTTTGAATGAGTTATCCGCATTACCTGTGCCCATTTTGTTTTTCCTTATGATCCTGAAAATATACTCCCTTTGAAGTATTTGTCTACCATAAGCACCAAACAAACTAGCAAAATGACAGAACAGGCTTGATGGGCCAAATGATCTCCACCTTTTTTGCCATTGCAACAGAACTGCAGCGGAGTTCTTCAGGAATTCAGTAATAAGCATTTGCCCGGAGTTTTCCCATGAACATGCAAATTACCTATCTACTGCCTTGCTAAAGCATTTTGTAAAATATAACGTGTAATTGTGGATGACGGAGGAGGATGTAATGATCTAATATTCAAACCCAACTTGGGAAATCCGTCTGTTGACATAGAAAGGCTGATGTGGAATGCTTATTGACAGCTGGAGCACTGTTGTTAGTGAGTAAGGCTGCTGCATACAGTTGCTACTCTAAATCTGGCATTGATGTTGGCATCGATTGCTTAGAGAGATGCTGTACAGGCGCCTGGAGAGAGAGACACAAATGCATATGTGTTACAACAGAGGATGTGTTGAAAAGGTGAGCCTGAGGCATGTTATTGCAATTAAGAGGCAGCTTTATTGCACAGCTAGTGTGCTTGGCCAAGAATTGGAAATTTCCATCCTGAAGCTCATCATTCAGGCTGATGTTCCTACTGCCCAGTGCTGCACTGTCAAAGATTCCACCTTTCCATTAGATTTTGTGCTAACGCCTAATTTAACCATCGATTGAATGGAAAAAAAAAAGCCCATGATATTATTTCAAAGAAAGACTCAGGGAGTTTTCCTTTGTGTAAATTGGCTGCTACATTTCCTACATTGACTTCACTTCAGTAGGCTGTGGAGTGTAATGTCTTAAGTTTGTGAAAGATGCTAATGCTGTCAGATTCTTCTTTCTTTTTCTAAGAGGGAGGAAATGGCATTTACGCTAATGATGTTTATTTACTCTTCAGCTACTCTTGCTCCCCCTCGTAACCTCCAAGTGTACAATGCCACATCTCACAGCCTGACAGTGAAGTGGGATCCTGCCATTGGTCGAGTCCGGGGTTATCGGGTTATCTATGCACCCATGACTGGAGACCCTATTGATGAAACGGTAATCCCAATTGTCTTCATGATTCTTTTTGATTGGTTAGAGTCTGGATGAAACAGTGATACAGGCAGACAGCAGTATGGTAGGTGGTTCATCCAGATCCGAGAATCCGGGGACCGATTGGAAAAGCTGTCATCGGGACGGAAAGAGATTCCACATCTGACAAAGTGAGGGCAAACCAGCAATGGGCCGAATGGCCTGCACAACGAGTCCTTCGAGTGCTCCGGTTTCCTCCCACAGTCCAAAAATGTGCAGGTTAGGGTGGATTGGCTGTGTTAAATTGTCCATAGTGTCCAGGAATGTGCAGGCTGGGTGGATTAGCCATGGAAAATGCAGGGTTACAGGGATATGGTAAGGAGTGGCTCCGTATGGGATGCTCTCTGGAGGATTGGTTTTGACTCAATGGGCCAAATGGCCTGCTTCCACGCTGTAGGGATTCTGTGATTCTATGAACTGCAAGGATATGGGGCAAAACCTATTAAAACAAAAGCTTTCCAGGCAATCAGGCAAGAATGTCATTGATGAAGTTTATTCCTTTGACTATAATGCAGCTTTACTTACTAAGTTAACCTTAGGCTTCTTTGGTAATGGTTGTTGCAACACATGTAAATGTCAATACCTATTTACGGGCCAAAGGAATAGATTGAAATCCAGTTCAACTCCTTCATCTGTTGATGCAGATAGTCTGGTGTGAAACAAGAGTTTTGGTAATCAATTGCAATATCTTGGAGTTTAATTATCCCAAATGCAATGCCATGCATGTGATTACAGATTAATGTGTTAGTATTGCCCAATTGCTTTTACATTCAAAACTATTGGGTTTCCTCTAGGTGCTCCGGTTTCCTCCCACAGTCCGAAGATGTGCAGGTTAGGTAGATTGGCCATGCTAAATTGCCCATAGTGTTCAGGGATGTGTACATTAGGTGGGTTATAGGTGGATGGGTTTGGGTGGGAAGCTCTGTAGGTCGGTGTGGACTTGTCGGGTCGAAGGGCCTGTTTCCACACTGTAGGGATTCTATGATTCTATTTGCAGATCCCTTAAGTTACTTTTATAAGATTGCATGCAACTAATAAGGAGATCTTAACTTATTCTCAGTCAGGTCTTAATGTGAATTATCAGAATAATTTTTTGTCTTTGTGTATTATTAATGCTTTTATACAATTATTTAAAAATCGAAGGGGGCAGACATTACCTTGTGTAGACACTTAACACATTTGTATCAAGTTTCTCTGTTTTAACAGATGTTGCTGTCTCAATTTTAGTGGCAGAGCAAGGTATTGCTGCCAGTTCATTACAGTAACGCCCATTTAATCATTACCAACAGGCTTTTTTTTGAAAATAATGTTTCAATTTGCACAGGATTCTGGAAGGAAGGCACTGAGACCATTCATAGATGTAAAAATTGGCTGGCTGACAAGTAAAACACAGCGGAATGGACTTACAGAGTAGCTCGTATAGAGAGCTGGTACAGACATGATGGGCCAAATAGCCACCTTGTCTGCTGTTATCTTTCTGTGAGCTATGACATTTACATCAGAGAAATCTATATTAAGTTGACTGCAAGTGACCCCGGTTGGAAGTGAGGGAATACCTTATTGCTGGGAGCTTTGCAAAATGTTATTCCAAGTCCACAAGTTCCTTGCAAATATGCTACATCCACCACACATCGTACTCATGTAACATAATATTGAAGGAACTCAAATTTGTATTCAAAGCAGTCATTTCATACACTGAAAGTGTAAGGGTTATATTAATGTAGCATGTTGAGCTAAATACATTTCTCCTGATATTATTCCTGTGACTTTGCAAGAGAGTAGAATCAGTCAAAGTGTAAACCAGATGTTGCATCTTATACATTCTTCCAGTTTCAGCTCTAGAGTTATCACAGATTGGTTTTAAATATCCTCAAACCTCCTCTGAACTTGCTTACCAGTGTGAGTGACATGCACTGTTCTATTCTGGACAAGGTGATATCACATGACCTAGACTTAGATCATTAATGAAAGCCTTAGCCTGTTTCTGACTCAATGTACCGCTTGTAGTTAGCAGACACATCCAGTCACCCAGAACAGGGTTTGCTCATGGCGTTGGAGTTTGGAAAGTTAATCACACCCTTTCTTCTTGCAGACTTGCACTTACTACAATTTGCTAAATCATTTGAGCGATGCTTACTTCATCAAATCATTACTATGTTTAACCTTTGGAAACTGCCGATGATGCCTTCTAACAGCATGAATAAGTGCAGAGCAATATATTATCATAGAATCCCTACAGTGTGGAAACAGGCCATTCGGCCAATCAAATCTACACTGACTCTCCAAAGAGAATCCCACCCATACCCACCCCATTTCTGTAACCCTACATTTTCCATCAATAATCCACCTTGCCTGCACATCTTTGGATTGTGGGAGGAAACCAGAGCACCCAGAGGAAACTCACACAGACACAGGGAGAATGTGCACACTCCACATAGACAGTCGCTTGAGGGTGGAATCAAACCCGGGTCCCTGGTGCTGTGAGACAGCAGTGCTAACTGCTGAGCCACTGTGCCGCCCAGATATACACTGGGCTGTGGGCTCAGATAGTCTACAATTGCTGGTAAGCCACTCAGTTCAAGAAATTCAGGGGCAAACAAAAAATGCTGGCACTACCATTGACATCTCATGAAAAAATAAAGGAGAAAAATATATTAAGAAGAATCCACAGTGTGATATTCCTTTTGTGAACTGCATTGACTAACTCACTTGATAGCTTCAAACATTCAATCGTGTTCCTTTATTGAACAGCTTATGTATCAATATTAACAGGCCTTTCTCAGACATAGTTTGAGAAAACAAATACCTATTAAATAGAAAACACCAGTTACTGTTTACTGTGTGCCAATAAATTGTTTTCCAGTAAATTGGATTACTCTCCTTGTGTTGTGGCTAACCTTTTGATATTTTTGTTTGAGTTTGTATCTAATCTGTCAAGAATAGAGAGGTTTTAACTAATCTTCAGTAACCCATTGTACTGGATTATGTTGCATTGCACTGCGTTCTTTATGAAAAGCAGACTTGTAGGTCATCAAAGACAAATCCATCCAAGAGCTTTGTTTGCAAAGCTCTCATAGTCTTCATGTCATACAAAAAAAAAGATATTTCTTGAGGTGACTGCCAGAATGCCAACAGCGCAATTTCTTAGAACTCCACTACTTTTGAAAGTAACTTTAGTATGCCCTATAAGAATTATGCCCTGACTGGATATGACAAAGAAGGAAGACTTTAATCCACATTTAAAACCCATATGTTTTCAATTATATTAGAGAAGTTAGCTGCAATTAACAACATCTAAGGTTTCGTGTTTTGGAGTTCACACATATTTGCATTTAGATGACAAGCAGCTACCATTTATCATTAACTTTCTCAACTTAGAAAATGGCAATGATGGCCTGCCCTGTAACATCACTCCCAGCTCTCAGAAGCAGAGAGGGACTGTCTGCTCTTGAGAAAAAAAAGGTAATAACTTCCAGATGGTTCTCTGGCAGAATGGCAGCAGTGTCCGGTTTGAAGTAGCCCACAGACGGCACAGGATTATAGAATCTGTCTACCAGAGACCCTGTCTCTGCCAACGTGAAAGGATGTGACAGTACTGGACTTAAAAGGACTGACAATCTCAACCAAGCTCCTTCATATTCAATTAAAATCCAAGAATTTAACCGTCTGAATTGAATGAAACTGGCAATGTCACTTAGAGACAGGATGGTATTGGTATAATTTGAAAATGTTCTTGCAGTTTGTTGGGGCTGAAGCACTCAAGGCAGTGCAGAGGGAGCTTTATACAAAATGATGTCATATTGAGAGTTGGCTCTGGGTGTTTTCTTTGCAGTGACATGGAACATTTTTGGGACAGGATTGCGGACATTTGATGTCCTAGTGAAAGAATTGCTGCGCCACAATGCTTTACAGCTAATTAAATATTGTATTCTCCGTATGTCATATGGCTTTCATTCTGTGCACAGGAGGATCCCACAAAAAGTAAGGTGATATATGGCCAAATGATCTGTTTTATGGATATTGGTTGAGGCAAAAATATGGTCCATGATGTCAGAGAGTTCTTCTTTCAAATAGTGTAGTAGAATATTTTATTTTCATCATACAAGACAGATTGCTTTCGGATCTTATTTGATAGATGGTATCACCAATCATCATTGAGTTTTTGAAATTACAGAAAGAGGCCCGTTAGTCCATGGAGACTGCACCAATTATTAAATGTCCATCTATTCTAAGAGATAGTAAGAACTGCTGATGCTGGAGTCAGAGATAATACAGTGTGGAGCTGGAGGAAGACAGCAAACCAGGCAGCATCAGAGGAATGGAAAAGCTCCACACTGTGTTATCTCCATTTATTCTAATCCCAGTTTCTAGCACTTGGCCCACAACCTTGTATCCTATACAATAACGTGGTATCCCATTAGTACCACATTGGGCTGGATTTTATCTAACCTAAGACTGGGAATGATAATGCTAAACCGCTGCCCAGTCTGGGCTCCATGGGCTCCACTGATGGAGAGCGTGGGAGACCCCAATTCCTGGGACAGCAAAAGCCAGGCATTTCTTTATCTGGACACCCTTCTTTCTATATTATTCAGGGTAAATGCAGGAAGGATGTATCAATGACTGGAGAGTTCAGAATCAGGGATCGCAGATGGGGGGTAAGTCTTTGAGGATTGAAATGGGGAGAAATGTCATCACCCAGAGAGTGGTGAGCCTGTGGAATTCTCTGCCACAGAATCTAGTTGAGGCCAAAACACTGAATGTTTTCATGAAGGAGTTAGATATAGTTTTTAGGGTCCAAGGGGAACATTCAGAGAAAGCGGAGAGAGGGGATTGAGGTAGATGATCAGCCATGATCAGATTTACTGTTGGAGCAGGTTCAAAGGGCCGAAAGGGATTCTTCTTCTCTGATTTTCTATGTTTCTACATCCATTGAATACTTAACTCAAGGCATTTATTTCTCTTCAAGATTACAGTGGGTCCCAGACAGAACAACGTGGTGCTACAGAAGCTGGATCCAGACACCCCTTACTCAATCAGAGTGGTATCCGTCTCTAGAGCTGGAGATGGGGGACAGATAATTGGAAACGGCAGAACAAGTATGTTCAATGACCCTGGACGTGATTGCTAAATGTACAGGGGTTGTGGGGGGGACGGTAGTTGGGGATTGGGTGGGAGGTTGGGGAGGAGAAATTATATCACCTGAGGATTCAAAAACTGAACTGGCCCAGCCATACAAATGCTGTATACTGTGGTTATAAGTGCTGCTCAAAGACTGGGAATTCTCCAGCGAGTAACTCAGCTCCTGACTCCCCAAAGCCTGTCCACCATCTACAAGGCACAATTCAGGGGTGTGATGGAATACTCCCCTCTTGCCCAGATGTGTGCAGCCCCAACAACACACAAAAAAAGCCTGATTTCATCTAGGACAAAGTATTCTGCTTGATTGGCACTCTATCCACTGCCTTCCACGTTTGTTGCCTCCACCACTGACACTCAGCTGCAGCAGTGTATAACATCTACTAGACACTGTAGTAATTCACTAAGGTAGTTTCAACAGCAACTTTCCAAAACCAGGACCTATACCAACCAGAAGGACAAGGGAAAGCAGATACATGGGAATACCACAAGCCACACACCATTCTGAATTAGAAATATATCACTGCTAATATATCAAAACCATGGAACTCCCTCCCCAAAAGTACACTTCACCTGATGAAGGGGCTGTGCTTCGAAAGCTTATAATTTCAAGTAAACCTGTTGGACTATAGTCTGATGTTGTGTGACTTCTGACCTTGTCCACCCAGTCCAACACCGGCACCTCCACATAATGCCAAAAAGTACCATGAATGTTCCTATAACCCAAAGACTGTAGTGGTTCATGAAAGCACCTCACCATCACCTTCTTGAGGGTAATTAGTAATGACCACTAAAAGCTGGACTAGCCAGTGACGTCTGCGTCTAATTAATTAATTTAAAAGATATACTGTACCTCTGTGATCTTTGACTTTAGTAACACACATAGACCATTCAGCTTATTGGTATGGTCCATCATTCTGTCTGACGTCTCTCCTCAATATTAGGGACAAAAACAGAAGTTGCTGGATAATCTCAGCGGGTCTGGCAGCATCTGTGAACAAAAACCAGAGTTAACATTCCTTAGAACATTCTGAGAACCCGAAATATTAATGTGACTTTTCTTCACAGATGCTGCCAGACCTGCTGAGCTTTTCCAGCAACTTCTGTTTTTGTTCCTGATTTACAGCATCTGCAGTTCTTTTTGTTATTATTTAGTATTCTCCTCAATATTAACCTAACTTGCGAGAAAAGGGCAGGTATGGAAGTAGGGTGTCTAAATTGGGTCAGTGTATATAGTGTGTCCAATTCACTCTGGGTGAGTGATGTTTTAAATCAGGAGTTATTGAACTTTATATTCCAAATTCCTTGCTCTTAAATAATTCTTGATCACCTAATTTCTGAAATAATAATGTCCTTTCTAACGCCTCAGTTGCTTCTCATTTCCTTCTGGGCTGATAGAATAGAACTCTCCCCTCTCCCTCCACACATGTCTTGCTGTAGAATGGAATTTTCAACTTGTCTGAGTGCAAGGCAAAAAGGGATCTAAAATCCATAGCACAAACTAATTACTACTTGGCATCAATCTCACAGTCTCCTTCAAAGAGAGCTCCAGAAAATAATTGCTTTGCTAAATGTAAAATAATTAGTTTGGGAGTAAGGAAACTAAATAGCGGAGCGTGTTTTGAATAAATCAGCAGCAGACCACGCTGATTGGGAAAGGGATTTGGAGCTTTTTGTGGAGAAGTTATTGAAACCACCCGCTCAGCATATGGTTACATTGGGAAAGGCGAGAAAACTTTCTGGTTTTCTCAGCAATAGGATGGAGTGTAAAGCAAAAGAGGTGATGTTGTTACTTTAGAGGAAAGAACTTTCATTTAATTAGTGCCTTTTACAACCTCAGAACATTCCACAGTACTTTAGAGCCAATTAGATATTTTTGAAGTGTAGTCACCATTTCACCTCTTCAATACAGGAAACCCAGCAGCCTATTTTTACACAACTTCCCACAATCAGCAATGAGATAAAGAAACAAGCATTGGTGAGAGTTGAGGGATAACTATTGACCAGGCAGCTTACCTCCTGACTCCCCAAAACCTGTCCACTATCTACAAGGCACAAGTCAGGAGTGTGATGGAATACTCCCCACTTGCCTGGATGCGTGCAGCTCCAACAACACTCAAGAAGCTTAACACCATCCAGGACAAAGCAGCCCACTTGATTGGCACCACATCCACAAGCATCCACTCCCTCCACCACCGATGCAGTGTGCACTATCTACGAGATGCACTGCAGAAATTCACCAAAGATCTTCAGTCAGCATCTTCCAAACCCACGGCCACTTCCATCTAGAAGGACAAGAGCTGTATACATGGGAAAACCACCACCTGCAAGTTCCCCTCCAAACCACTCACCATTCCTGACTTAGAATATCGCTGTTTTCTCAGTGTCACTGGGGCAAAATCCTGGAATTCTGTCCCTAAGGGCATTATCAGTCAACATGCAACAGGTGAACTGCAGTGGTTCAAGCAAGCAGATCACCACCACCTTCTCAAGGGCAACTAGGAATGGGTAATAAATGCTGACCCAGCACAGCCCACGTCCCAGGGATGAATGAGAAAAAGGTGACAGTGGAGATTTTCTTTAAAATATGCCACAGCATTATTTATGCCCCACCTGAGAGGAAGTCAGTTTATGTCACAGCAATTCCAATCATATCGTAGTATTGCACTGGAATGCCACATGGACTGTGCACTCACATTCCTGAGGTTAGGGGGAGGGTGTCCTTTAGTTCACAACGGCAGTGCAGTGTCGAGCAGGAATGAAGAGTCACTCAGGTTTCAGAATGCCTGCCCCACTCCATCCTGCTTACTTAAACCCCTGAAGATTTATGCAGTTTGTTTC